AACAATGTGTGAGGTCAAAATGAATTATGATTCAATTTATCTGGAGAGATGTAATTCAATAATTAAAGTTAAAAGATACATAGAATTCATTTTGTTTCTGTTTTGAGTTGTATTTTACAAAGCATTGTTTTTATTTTTATTTTTCGAGACGCCATCATTGTCAGGAAAGGCCGACTGTTAAGTTTTAATATTTATTTAATTAAATTCTAAACATTTTTATGAAACATATTCTTTTGCTACAAGTGCGCATGTGCAATAATTACTCATTTGACTCGGTCCGTTATTTACGAATTGTTACGAATTCACTCGAATAACTGCCCGAAGTGGGAAGGTCGAGTCGGAGTGGGGACTAGATGATAAAAGAGGTTGTAACACATGCGCACAGGCAATTCCTTTGTTCAAGTTTGAAGTTTTACAGTTTACGTAAAATCAATGTGTGAATTATAGTGAAGCAAGTCATCATTGGAGTGTTTAATTTCCTACCCTAAGAACTAGATCAACTAGCCCTAACAATAGCATTTATTATTTATGTTTAAGGAATGGTGTTGATCAGCTGCTATTTTCATTCATCATCATTTGGTAATATCTGTGTCAAATTAGTTCAAAACCGTTACATGGTTTATTTAATTTACCAATATTAATGGATCTGCAAATTAACGACTATTTGATAGTCTGTAGGCTTTATTATTTATATTGAAGAAATTGTGTTAGTGACAGCTGCCATTGTCATTTAATAATGTCAAAGTCAAATTGGTTCGAGGCCGTTAATACGAATGGTTTATTTAATTTGTCAATGTTGCTAGATCTATAAATTAACGACAATTCAATGGTCGATAATAATAATTACTCCATAGTCATTATTATTATTAAAAGTAGTTTATCATATCACTTTAAACATATAAAACTTATTGATAATAAATATCAAAGTAATCTTTGACACGCGTTTTTCAAGGCAGTTTTTGCCGCGCACCACCACTATGTGGAACCAGCTGCCCACTGAAGTATTCCCGAACCAATTCGACTTAGGGTCCTTCAAGAAAAGAGCGTACCAATTCTTAAAAGGCCGGCAACGCACTCGCGAGCCCTCTGGCATTGAGAGTGTCCATGGGCGGCGGTATCACTTAACATCAGGTGAGCCTCCTGCACGTTTGCGCCCCGTTCTATAAAAAAAAAAAAAAAAAAAAACACTCGTTTCTATGACTGCCATTTGACTCTGTGGTCGATTCGGGTTCTGTCGTGGAACGAGTACACGAAACTTGTTTATTACAAATTCTGATTGCTATAAATATAGGAACTGATTGGTGCGGCGCTTAGTTCGATTGGGCCGTCGAACCAATCAGAAGCCTTTAAAAAGTGGACTCTAATGTCGAAATTAAATGGCTGATGCCAACAAACTAATTTATGACGTCATTATCTTCAACAATTCATCGTGGAGTCTGGTCTCTGGACACAATAGTTATGGCGTTAATCGCCGACATATACGTATCAAAATGTTAACCTCTTGATTTGTAAAGTATTTTTAACAAAACAACTAACACTTTGTTTTATTTTTACCGTAAAGAAACAAAAGAAAACTAGGATATTCCAGAAATAAGCATGCCAATTAATGGCATTTAGGAACACTATTTAATACAAATCTAAATAAATTACTATTCAACTACTTTTAGGCTGCCAGTCCACCAGAGCGGAGCGAGGCAGCGGAGCCGAGAAACGGACTAATGCGGAGTGGAGTTGCGTACTGTGACTGTCCACCGGAGCGGAGCGAGGCTGCGGAGCGGAGTGAGGAAGTAATGCGGAGCGGAGTTGCTGTGTTTTTCAATATGCGGAGCTAGGCAGCAAGTACGCGACGAGTGATTTCGAGCTCCCGGCGTGGGGCGATTGGTTTAATTCTACGCGAAATGTCAGTGATAGCAGACATGCCATCGAAAAAGTTGATACATTATTACCTTACATTGCTTGAGGAAGAAGAGTTGGAGTCAGAAGAAGCCGAAATACTTACCATATACCATTTGAACAATTCTATGAGGAAACATAGATTTTGGTTAAGAAATCATATCAAACATCGTTCAGAACACAGTGAATATTTTACTTTTTTCCAAACAGCTGATGAAGAAACTTTCGAAAATTCTTATAGAGTTTCAAGATGTACTTTTTATGAACTTCACTCCCTGATTGAACCATATATTCGGAAACAAGACACAAATTACAGAAATTCAATTAGTAGCCGTGAAAGATTAGCGGTGTGTTTAAAGTAAGTACACATTTTAAATCAAAGTAACTTTTATTTTTGCATACAGTTATAGAAGCCATGTTATATTAATTTAAAAATCGTAATCTGTCTCAAAATTGACCGCATTTTCATTGGGTTCTGTTGGCTCTGCTGCAGATGTTTCAATATCCTGGGTTGTTGGAATTTGTAAAGCGCTAGGATTAATGATACTAGTGTTAATATTATCTGAAGCACTAGGAATATTGACACTAGTGTTGGTATTATCTGAAGCACTAGGAATATTAAGACTAGTGTTGATATTATCTGAAGCACTAGGAATATTGATACTAGTGTTGATATTATCTGAAGCACTAGGAGTATCGATACTAGTGTTGATGTTATCTGATGTAGGTGTTGAGCCTGTAGAATAACCATAATTATTCGGTGAATACCAACTATGTTGAAGATTACTTTCTTCAGCTGACATTACCGCATTAAAGCAGGTTTTTTTAATTTGAAGTTGAAAATAATACGGCAGCTTTTTTTGTCGATGCAGCCAAATTTAAAAAAAATAAGTCTATTTCATCGTATTTATCACTGGCTGACATCATGTTTTTAAGTTCTATCCGTTCTCGTTCCAACACTTCGCGGCGTTCTTGATTTTTTTTTAAATAATCTAGAATTTCATCGTTCTTTCTTTTTTTGGATGTTGATGGAAGAGATTCCGAAGCTGTTGGATTCTTAGGATCATCGGCAGAAGGAAGATTATTTGAATTTGATGGCAAAAAATTGCATGATTCCCGTGAACTCTCTTCAATGGTATTTGGCGGATTTGAAGTTTCGCTTACTGAGTGGTCCAGGGGCGTAAAATTTGTTGACCGGTCTCTGTTACTCATGTAAGGCAATAAAAATGACATGGCTTTTTGATATTTCCATTCTTTTCGTTGTTTTCTAGCCTGTCCACTCCTTGTTGCATTTTGTCTTTTTAAGGCATCCCGATGGTTATCTCTCAGTTGTTTCCATCGCGACTTGGCAGTTGTAACTGAAACAATCAACAAACACAAAAATGTATTACATGGTCTATTTATGACAAAAATATTACATCACTTACGCGAAGTACAATTAAATACGTTTTTTTTAGGTATTTAGCAACCGGCCAGTCATTTACAACGATGGGAGAGAATTTTAGAATTGGATTGAAAAGTGTATCAAGAATTGTTGAGGAGGTTTGTGATGCTTTATGGAATATATTGCAACCTCTTGTCATGTCACAACCAACAGAAAACGACTGGAAAGAAATCGCAAAAGATTTTGATGAACTATGGCAATTTAAAAATTGTATAGGTGCTCTTGATGGCAAGCACGTATATATCAAGGCTCCCTCGAAAACCGGGTCCTCGTTTTTCAACTACAAAAAGAGATTTTCTGTAGTATTGATGTGTTTAGCTGATGCCAAAAGGAAAATCATAATGGCTGATGTGGGATCTATGGGAAGATTTTCTGATGCAGGAATTTTTGATAACAGCATTTTCGGAAAGAGTCTAAAAGAAAAGAGATTGAATTTACCTCAGCCGGTACCATTTTATCAAGGTGGAGCAAAAATGCCGTTCGTATTTATAGGAGACGAAGCTTTTCCATTAATGGAAAATTTTATGAGGCCTTACCCACGTGATGGACTTAACGCAGAAAAAAAATTTTTAATTACCGATTATCAAGAGCACGTCGTATTGTTGAGGCAACTTTCGGTGTATTGACGAGAAAGTGGTACGTGTATCATAAAGATTTTGAATGCAAAATAGAAACAGTTGACAAGGTAATAAAAGCAACATGTGTTTTGCACAATTATTTAATTCAAAGACAACCTAATTATATAAACAATATTGAAAATAACATGGAGCAATCATTATTATCAGTTGGTGATATTATAGAAACACAACATTCTAGTAACGATGGTTATCAAGTTCGTGAAATGTATTGTTCATACTTTAATAATCAGGGGAAGGTACCATGGCAAGATACTCGAATTTTGAAAAGAATCTATAATAGTCAGTGATGTGAGACAGATATAGATAATTTGGCCAGCTGCGGACATTATTTAACTATTTAGGCTATTACATTATATAGGCTATTTTGTTAAATAAAAAAAAGATATCAATATGTACCTACTAGAAGGTATTATAGAATAAAGATACATATTATTTACCATCCGATATGTTTGTTTCAATGATAATTTGGTCCCACGCAGCATCTTTTGTTTCGTTGCATTTGTAAAATTCTGAAGATGTGTTCCAAATGCACGGAAACTTTTTCACACTTTCAATAAGTTTTTCATCCATTATCTTCGGTCACATACGCACTGGTCGGAATACGGCGGCACACTGCCGGCGCAAAGTGCGCCCGCGCCCGCACTCGCTTCCCCGCTCCGCATCCCCGCTCCGTTTCCCCGCTCCGCATACCGGTTTTATATGAAATTTTAAACTAGCTCGCAAGTCCCTGTCCACTTAAGAGGAGCGGAGATTTTGTGCAATCCTATTGGTTAATATTTCTCCGTTTCTCGGCTCCGCTGCCTCGCTCCGCTCTGGTGGACTGGCAGCCTTATTGGCAATTTTTGTAATGCCAGAGTTATTCTTTAAAATAGCTTTAGAGGGAAAGGGTAGATAAGGTATCTGAAAAGTAAAGAAGACGGCAGCGGAAGCCACGGCTTCAAAAGTGATAAAAATTTATTTCTCTTATTAACAATATAACAATATAAATGCACGTAAAAAAAAGATCACAGAGTCGGGAGCGGGCTCTAGTCCTCGGCCGAGCCGAGCGAGCGGCAAGCGGCGTCCAGCTCCGGGCCCAGCGACAGAGTGCGGCCCTCGGCGCCCCAACGCCGCTCGCTCACGCGCCGCACGCGCCGTCGCGACGCCCCCAGACGAGACCGCAGCGTCGCTCGCAGCGTCTGAGGAGCGGCCGGCACGCGCACGCGCACACAGAGCGCCACGCCGTCGTAGAAGTCCAGATCGGCGGCGATGCGCAGCCGCGGCTCTAGCTCCAGTTCGGCGACGGCGTCGAGCTCGCCCCACGCCGCCTCCGCCCTCAGAGACGCGCGCGCCGCCACCCCGCCGCGAGCCTCCACTCCGCCGCGCGCGCTGCGCGACCACACCGACACCTGCGCGTGCGCATCGAGGGCGACCGCCGCGAGCGCCTCCAGGCGGCCGCGGAGGGCGACGCCGTCGAGGAGGCGCAGCGCTCGCGTCCTCGAAGCCAGCGGCAAAATCGCGCGGAGAGCCGGCGTCGGGGCGCTCGCCGTGCCCGCCCACACGTGCGCCGCCAGCTCGGCGCGCCCGTCGAACAGCGAGACGGGCGGCAGACGCGCGCCGCCCGCCGACAGAGCCAGCGAGGCCGCCGTCGGCTCGCCGTCGCCGGCGCCGCCCGCGAGCTCCTCGAGCCCGGTCGCGACGAGGTCGACGACGAGCGGGTCTAATTCGGGACCCCGCAGCCGCACGACGCCTCGCCGCAGGGCGCCTCCGCGGGCGACCTGCAGCGAGTCCAGGGCGACCAACGCGGCGGGCGCGGCGATCGGCGGCGGCAGACTCCGCCGGAGGGCGACGGACGTGGCGGGAGCGAAGAGCGCACGCATCCTCAGAGTGGGAGGGAGCGCGGCGCGGAACATCGCGGTGCTTTCGCCGAGCGCCACCAGCCGCTGCCACAGTACGCGCACCAGCTCACCCTCCGCCTGAAACCATAAAACACCAAGGGGGGTCGTCGGTGAAGAGATGGAAATTTAATTTAATTTTAAACAGACCAGAGGGGACTCTTCGTATTGAAGAAGTCGTAGGGTGCAACGTGAACATTTATGAGTGCAAAAAGGATATGGGCGGACACGTCGAGTCACCTGGTACGTCAGCGTGTTTACGAGCGACAGCAGAGTGAAAGGCGCATCGGCGGCGGCCCGCAACACCACGTCCAGCGCGGAGGCCCGCACCACCAAGGGCCTCCCCGACGCGATCAGCACTCGCAGCCGACGCGACGTGCGCGGCGAGAGCGCGCCGTCCGCGCTCAGCGCGTCCAGGGCATCCAGCGCCGCCAGCGCTTCGCCGTCGGTGCCGCGCTCCGCCCACGACAGGAGGACCTCGGAGGCGCCGCTCGGCGCGGAGTTGGCGAGGGCGCGCAGGTGTGCGACGCGGCATCGCTCGTCTCGGCACTCGGCGAGGGCGGAGGTGAGCTTCCCCGCGGCGGTGGCCGCGAGTCGCGACTCGGGTTCGCGTCGTCGCAGCGTCCGAGCGACCGCACCGAGAGCGGCGAGCGCGGCGGCCGCGACGTCGGCGTCGCGCTCCTCGGCGCCGTCACGGGGCCAGGAACTCGAGGCGAGAAGACCCTCGACGACGCTCACCTACGACGAGACGGACGATCTATTATTATTTTACAACTTGATAAAAGACAAACTAGAGTAAGAGATACAAATGTGCAATTTAAAAAATTTACATATTTCTACTTTGTAATTTGTCACGGATCAACAGTGCATCAACAGTGGCACAGCGTCGTTTAATGTCGATAGAGATCTGTGTAGAGGAGCATTACAACCGACGTTGGTCCTCACTGCCCGAACGTAATAAAGGATTGATGTGTTTCTTGTGTTCCTCTTTCAGAGGAAGTTCACTTGATTTAAAACATTTGGTAATCTACCAAGTTATTTAAAATTTTGTAAACAAATATAATGTCAATAAGGCGGCGTCTATCGCGGAGTGATTGCAAGTACAAGCAAGATTTGGTCACCTCACATATAAATATTAATTACTACGTAACTTTCAATACGCGTAGTGTATTTGCCTCCCCCTGTATTGGTATGTGGAGGTTATCTAAAGCTGGCGGCTTCAACACATTTACACTTTGTGCTTGTGTAGTCTGTGAATAAGCGCGAGGCGTGTTGTCACACTGAATATGCTTAATGAAAAGACTGTCCGTCTCTCTCGCGCTCGGTCAAGCTTATGAGTATAAGAGAGACGGTAATTTTTTGCTTTTGCTACTGTTTATGTTGATCATTTTTCTCGTTATTATTTTGTCTGTGATTGTTTAATTATTTGGTTGGAGGTTAGAATACTTTGAAAAAAATGTCTTATGAATAGTATTGTCTTTGATTGACATAACCTTAACACATTTAAAGAAAAAACTTTTTACCGGATTAAAGTTATGTATTATTATAAATTTACAATTATTTAACACGTTTTTATACGTGCTTTACAGCGTGCGTGGCACGCGAAACGTCGGATAAATTTAAAATTATAGGTAAAAAGTTTTTTCTTTAAATGTCTTATGAAATATATTCCATCTAAACATTACCAGGACAATCTCGTGAAATGGTGTACAACGTTTTTAATTATTTTAAGCACCTTAATAAAACAGTTAAACGAAAAAATTTAATTTTTAATTTGACATCAGATGCGACTCTGGTGTTTCTAAGAGGAGTATTGAATGAATTGTTGGTGAAGTAAAAGTGAAGTGTGTTGAGCTAGATGGAGCTTATGTCGAAAAATGTAAATTTTTTACACAAACTACTCTTTTACGTTCTTGGTCGGGCTTAGAACTTTTGGATCCACCCTCGTATGCACATAATATTTATATGAATTTGACACATTTTAATTCATTTTACAACCCACCCAACCTTACTAAATCCAGAGTAGACTAAAATATATAGCTTGGCAAAAAAGTCATATTTTTAAACATACTGTATAGTGAAATTGCATTAGTGTGAGTACTGTGAACGCGCCAGCTTTCGATAACCGACCTATAAGGGACTTGGACACATTTTATGGACAACATCGACGGAGTTTTCAATATAGGGTACATTAATTTGATATCGAAGTATTAACTAACGAAGTCAAAGAACGAATGGTTAAGAGGTGTAACTATAATAATACACTGGGCTTTGCCTCGATCGATTTTATGTATATTTCTAACCTACATGAATTTAATAGTGTGAGTAGTGATAAGTTAGGAATATTCTGAAATATTTCGATAAAATAGCCGAGGGAACTGACGTGCGGGTTCGGGGCGAGCGCGAGGGCCGCGTAGTAGTGCGGCGCCAGCGAGGCGAGCGGCGACGACGGCTCGCGGAGTCGCAGCAGGTCGTCCGCGGCGGCGTGCGACGCCCTCGTGCCGCACGAGCCGAGCACCCGCAGAGCCTCCGGGAGACGCCCCCGGTCCACGCGCTCCAGCAGAGCGCCGAGGCGGGCTCGCGTCTCGCCGCAGAGCGCCTCTCGGGCGCGCATCGCCCGCCACGCCTGCGAGGCGTCGCCCCCTCGTTCGGCCTCGTCCGGCTCCCACTCCGTCGACTGCGACTCCTCCGACTCCTGCGGAGAGACATAATTCTAATTATTATTCGACCGACCAGATTTAAATAAATAATAAATCAATAAATCTTCCGTGAAACGAGACGAAGAACGATAACGCGGCGCCGTCGAGTTCTTATCTGTCGACGTGCGACCTTTCGACCTCGGCGTATCGCGACGTGGCGTATCCTGTCACTCACCGAGGAATCGACGGAGTCAACGGGGTCAGGCGAGGGGGCCCGCAGGGGCAGAGACGCGAGGCGCGAGGGCACGGCCGCGAGGGCCTCGGCTCGATCGACGGCAAGTGGCGCGGCTTCCGCGGTGGCTCGGTGCGAGAGCCGCAGCCAGGCGCGCGCCTTGAGCCCTCCTCCGGCCGCCAGCCGCGCCTCGTGCACCTCCTCGGCGTGCACGGCTTCGAGGCATCCATCCTTCAGCGTGTAGCGCGCTACGCGCCTTGACTCGCCCCACTCGCCTTCGCACTCACTCTGCGAAAATAAATTCGATCAGCGTCCGCTCGGCAAGCTCCCTGTATGCAATGGGAGAGGAGCTTCTCTCACCTTTATCTTTCGAACGGTATTCCCGTCTGGAGTCTCGTAGGCCACTCGACAGACTCCCGACGCGTCTGTCTCGATGCCTGCGCCCTTGGAGGTCTGAAGCTGAAAAGACACTTTTTATTGAGTGCAGCCCCGTTGTATAGGCAGTTAGTTCACTTAGTAACTTGGCCTAGGTAAATTTAGATGGTTTATAAGTTTATAAATAAATGTCTACTTCTCAAATAATGTCATCAGAATTCTGAATAGAATACTAAATGAGACAAAGTAATCTCAAAAAGGTCTAACTGAAAGCCAAAATTATTGCTCATTTGGAAGAAGGTTGCCGCTAAGGAATAAATTATTACTTTTGATTTTTTATATTAAACCACTTGCAAGAGAACATCCTAATCTAATAGAAATGATGATAAGACTTAATTAAAATTGTTTAATGAAAAATTATCAGTAATAATGGAACACAAAAAAAAGTATCCGAAAAGAACCTATATACCGATCAAACACTGAATATAATATAGGATATTCTTATGCAATCCATTGTTCCACTTCTTTGCTTCTTTACTTAATAGACAATATTACCAGATAATTTATGATAATATATTCTCAGAAGAAATGTTTACCTGAAATTGGCTAATAAGAGAACGCTTGTAGTTGAGGACATCAAACAGCTCATCGGCATCCAGGTAAACATTCAGCACTAATCCGTCTTTAAAATGCGCATAGAACTCGGAGTGGGGATAGGAGTCCCAGACAGAATCGTGTGGCAGAAAGTCTTCACGGGCGTTCGCACCGCGAATTAGCAGTCGTGGCTCCGACAACTCGAAGCGCAACAGCCGCTCGTCATCGGCGTGCCAGGTTTCTTCCACGCTTAAAACCGCCTTCACCTTGTAACCCACTTCACGCTCGCGTTGGGTCACTTCCTGCAGCTGAACAGTCGTCTCTACTTCGTATATCTCGCGCCCGGCGAAGTTCAGCGGCTCCAGTAGTCCCGAGACGCCGCATACTACAATCGCGAACACTATGTACGCTGTTGACCTAACCATATTAACATCAATGCAGCGGCAATAATACTAATGCATCCTGACTTTAAAAAATTATACGGTTCAATTAAGTATTAACTCATTTCTCAAAACAATCATGCGCCGATATCAGCTGCAGTCTGCAGCCTACAGGACAGAGTATGGGAGTACACCACAGAACACAATTACCTAAAGGAGTACACTGTACAGACTATAGAGTACAGACGGTTTAGTTAGTGATGCTAACTCCTACATAATGTTCTCCCTAAAAGGTTTGAGAGGTAATTTTAAATATATGTACATCAAAACTATCAAGTATTTTATACCACTTGAATGTAGTTTTGATGTAAAATGTATTGGTTATTGGTATTTGGTATGTTATCTAAAGTTGGCGGCTTCAACACATTTACACTTTGTGCTTGTGTAGTGTCTGTGAATAAGCGCGAGGCGTTATGTCAAACTGAATATGCATCATGAAAAGACTGTCCGTATCTCTCGCGCTCGGTCAAGCTTATAAGTATAAAAGAGACAGTTATTGTTATGCTTTTGCTATTGTTTATGTTGATCTTTACTGTACAAGTTGATCTTTTTGAAGTTATACTTCTTTAGGCGCGTTATGAAAAATTGATGAGAGTGAAATTTTACGATGCGCGCGCATCTGAGACACAAACTTGTCAGTGTGATTATAGCGTGCGCGAGCGAGATGGGAATAAGACAATCTACAAGTAAAAAGAAATAGAATATGCGTGAAGTTAGCAGCTATGCCAAGAATTTTGAATGAACATAATGACATTTACCTTTTAAACAAATAAAGGAGTTTTAATTATTTTTTCAAAGAAATTTAGCAATGCTTTTTCACAAAGACCTATTGTTACTTAGTTAAAAGGTTATGAAACATACGTAGTTATTAAATTGAATGAATAATATAATAAATAATAATCATTATTATTATTAATTGAATATTATACTAAATATTATTAAATTATTAACGTTAAATATTTGATATTAATTATTTAATATTTAAAAAAATAAAGAAAGCCAAAGAAGTGTAACTTCTTACGCGCGTACATAAGTACACGCACCCTTTTTTATTTACAACAGATAGCTACTATGCTATCTTATTTTTTATGTACAACTAACGATAAACATTTAGCTTTTCAGATAACTTTTCAGACAGCTTCTATTGAGCAGTTTAGCTTCTTAAGAGAATGTAGTGATACTTGCAGTAATACTTCATTAAGTATTAATAATTTAAATTAGATAGTGTGAAGAGGTGACCTCTAGCAATAACTTATTACAACTCAGATCAACACAAACATGTACCTAATATTACTAACAACAACAGCTGTTTAAACTTGATGCATCAAAACATGCAAGGTATGTTAGGCAAAGAATTAGAATTGGAGTTATTTTTAAAATTAAGCAAAATTGATGACCTATGCATTTCCAAACATTGTAAGTATATTATTGTATGTGATGACTTCAATATAAATTTAATTAATATTCAAGTTTTCACTTCTGCCGGCACTCCCGGAGTGCAACCCGTCGTTTTTTTTTTTCTATTTTTGTGTCAGGAATATCTGAACGACGGCATAAGCACGATTACCAAACAAGCTGACTTAGTAACGTAGTAGTATGAATTATGATACGTCAACAAAGAGGCACCGACTTTAAGGAAACTTAAAATTAAAATGTGATAAATATTTTGTGCTGGTTAAGAAACTATAGAAAGTTATCCGTTCAACAAATAGGTTTTTGGTTTAAAAAGGAAATTGCTTATGATGGGTAGCACGGAGATACATATACTTAAACAAAAACAAATTAAATATTTATATTGATCGCAACTAATTCAAATAAATTATACAAATTGCAGTTTTTAATTCTATAATACATTGTACACTGTGATAATCAAATTTGGGTACAAATGAACTTATTATATTATTTATACATTCCTTTCAGATTATGCCATTTCTATTATAATTATAAAGTAAATCTTAGGGTACATTTAACAATTTTTTTTTTTAAATTTGTTAGTCGGAAAATTGTTAATTAAATTTGTTTTTAGCCTAAAAAAATACCACGAATTCGAGTGTCATTTGGTCATATTATTCCGTCATTCCGTCCGTTAACGTCGGGATAAGAATAAAAAGATCGATATCTTTATTTAACATTTCTTGACAAATAAAAAAGGATCGATAAGTTGTAAAGTACCCACATTCATTCGTTCATTGACTCGAGAAACGAAGTTTAATCCAATTAATATCGATCCGTTTAGTGGTAAGTCGTGTAAACGAAAATCAGGGAAACAGTACTCATTCAAAACTTCAAAACTTCATAACAAACCTAACACTTATGACAATAATATCAGCAGCGGCAGTTTCGAATCGCCCTCCTGACAATATCTTTGATAAATTGTAAAAATATATTTCACTAGATTAATATAGTTTCTAGATTTTAAACTTTGTTCAAGATGCAAATGAAAAGTTTGCGATTGAGTGGCGGAGGCCGACCGAAGGGAATTACTTTTCAGGGAATTAGCGCCGACTCCGACTCGACCGATACGAAAGTCTAGTCGTCGCCGTCGTCGTCGTCCTCGGACAGCGGCGCGGGGCAGGCGCGTCGCAGCAGCAGCAGGCACGGCGGCACGTCGATGGTGGAGCAGGATGCGGACAGGCGCCGAAGGGGCAGGGGCACGCACACGCCGCGCACGCAGCGCCCGTGGAACTCGAGCGTCTGCGAGCCGCGCGCGTGCGGGCAGCGGGGCCGGGGCGCGAGCTGAGGGGCCGCGTGTCAGGGGCCGCGTTCCACTACCGCCACGCCCGCGTAAGACCGCCCCAGGGTCATCGCGCTGCCCAGCATCGACCACTGCTCCGTGGCCGGGTCGAACACCTAAACAGATAGTCCGGATCGAGAGGGTCGGACTCCTTCTCGTCGAAGGATCGTCCGCGACGAAGAAGGGAGATCGCACCTCGACCGTGTTGAGGTTGGCCGCGCCGTCGTCGCCGCCGACGACGTAGAGGCGGCCGCGATGCTCCGCCACGGCGGCGTTGCGGCGAGCGTGCGCCATGGGCGGCGCCGGGCTCCATCCCTCGGCGGGCCGGTACCGCTCCACGGAGCGCCGCACGGCGGGCCCGTCGTGGCCCCCGACCGCGTACAGCGCGCCACCCGCCACGCCGACGCCCGCCCCCGACCGCCTCGCGCTCATCTCCTCCGCCGGCTCCCACGCGTCGGTCGCCGGGTCGTAGCGCTCCACCGAGCTGAGGCAGAGCCGCGAGGTTCCGTCGTAGCCGCCCACAGCGTACAGCTTGCCCTCGAGCACGGCCACGCCCACCGACGAGCGCCGCGTGCTCATGCCGGCGATGGGCCGCCACGCCCCCTCGCGAGGGTCCAGCGCCTCGGCCGAGCTGAGACCCGCGGCCCCGTCGAACCCGCCCACGGCGTAGATCACCTGCCCGATCGCCGCCACGCCGAGCGTCGATCGCCTCGCCGTCAGAGGCGGACCCGCGCTCCAGGAATCGGTCGCGACGTCGTACACGTCGACGCTGCGCACGCGCAGCGTGCCGTTGAAACCGCCGACGGCGTAGAGCCGCCCGCCGACGACCGCGAGACCGGCGCGGCAACGGCGCGTCGGCAGATGAGCGGCGGCGCCCCAGCGACCCGTGTCCAGCTCGAGCGCCTCCACCTCGCGCACCGCCTTGGGCGCCTGGCCGCCGACCACGAGCAGCGCGCGCGGCGAGCGCGGCGGCCGTCGCGGTCTGGCCCGCGCGCACTCGGCGGCGGCGGCGGCGCGGCGCTCCGGCCGCGACAGGTGGAAGGAGAGCGCCTCGATGAGCAGGTCCTTGACGCGCAACGGCGCGCTCGCGAGAGGCTCGGCGGCGGCGCGCGCGACGAGCACGTCCCGCGGCAGCAGCGGCAGGCGCACGTGCTCGAGCAGGTCGGCGAGGCGCTCGCGGCGCGCGTCGGGATCGTGCCGCAGCCAGCGCAGCAGCGCGTCGAGGAGCGGCTCCTCGCCGGGCACGCTGAGGTGATCGGAGGCGAGCAGGCGAGCGAGCGGCGCCGGCTCGAGCGCGAGGAACTCCTCGGCCTGAAGCACGTCGAGCGTGTGCTTGTGCACGAAGTCGTCGGCGGCGGCGGCGAGCGCGGCGCAGGCGTGCATCTCGGCAAAGGCACGGATGCCGAGCGCGTTGTCGGGCGAGAGCGCGGTGGCCAGAAAGGCGCAGCAGGCCGCGCGCACTCCTCCCACCTGCACCAGCGACGCGCCCGACAGTAACGCCTGCACGTTGTCCTCCGTTATCGCGAGCGACTCGGGTTCGTACACGTACTCGATTATGGCCTCCAACGCCTCGGGCTCCACGTTCTGAAAGTGCGGTCGACGTGTGCAACGGGGCCGACGACGAATCTGATCGAGATTCCGGCCCTATGTTCGGGTGCCCGACGGTACCTGTATGGTGACGGTGGGGCGCGTCCGCTCGGTGAACTGCGTGAACATGGCGCGGAAGTAAGGCGAGCTAGCGGCCAACACCGCGCGATGCGCCCACGTGCCCTCACCGGGCTCCGTGGCGCCCTCGGCCTGCGCCTGCGGACACGCGGGGGTCGGTGAGACTGCGGCGGTCGACGGTCGGGCGGGGCTCGGGCGCTAGGTACCTGCAGGCGCACGTCGCACAGCAGCGCGTTCTGGCGAAGCGCCGCGAGTGCGCTGAGCAGCTGCGCCGCGTGTTGCGAGCCCGCCTCTCGCTCGCCAGCTTCGCGCCGCTGCGACGACTCGTCCAGCGACGACTGCGACGGACACCGCTCCATCATTCTGCGCCGACGCAAAACGTAAACGGAAGTTGTCAACTTAAATATAGAGGTCTATTTATAGTATTATTCATAAACTTAAGCAAATATAAATAAAAAATACATATTATCCGCAGTTCCCAGTAATAAAATACAAATATAACATTAGACAAAATTACAGGTTTACAAAAATAACCTTTTTTGTTAATAGAAATGAAAAAAGCGCCCCTTCATAGGCAAAGATTTTTTACATTATTTTAGATATTATATTACAAATAGAACACACTCACACTTATTAAGTGGCATTTAAGAGGATTTTATGCTCCATGTGTATGCATAATCTGAAGGTATATGATATTATATGGTTGAATTTTTAAGTATGTTTCTATTGAACTGAGAAACTTGAAACAGTTAGGTTTTCTTTGAAGGGGGGAATTACTAAAACTGACAGCATGTCAGGACAGTCAATTGTACTAATTGGCAAAACTTGATACTGAAGTGGTTGCAGGAATCTATTTAGCTACTATAGTTCTGAATATTCTTGAAACTACAGCATTTTGTTTTGTTTTGTATGCAGTGTAAAGAGAGTCGAGTTGGGACAAAACGGTCCATGGATAAGTGTACTACTAATAAAAGTAAAGTAAAGACATTTTATGCAATTTAAATTCTAAAAAAATGTGCATGCAAGTTTGACAATGCGATCAAATTGTGGTGCTTTTACTTTCAATAGCATACTGAGATTATTTTTTCAACAACGCATGGTGTCCAAAGAGTGTAAGTAATGTGTTTCTGTGTGTCACTTATTTTTAAGCCTAGAACTTAACCATGGATTCTAAAGTTATGTCAAATACTATAGTTATTTTGCCTGCAAATAAAATCTAGTAAAAGCAAATTTATATTTCACAATTAGGTAAATTATAATTTAATTTATGAGTACTTTTCAACATTTTAAATAACGCTCATCTTATTAAAAATATGACAAAATTGGTCACCTATATCCCCAGTGGTCTCCATCACCTTCTGCAGCACTGTTCTCTACACTTCCTCTGTCAATAGAAAACATTAGCTATTTAGAATAATCGCCAATCATTTATTTTATAAATAAGTCTTATAACACTATTTAATTTATTTTTATTTAAACTCAATATCTCTCTCTATGTCACAATAAACACAATTTACCAAAATAAGGCAATTTGTTTTAAATGAGACATTAATACATGATTTACTTTTGTGATTCTTTTATAATATAGACTGGGGATAAATATAATATAAGGTAATAAATATTTAAATAAAACTTCTTCATGTGTCTGTTGAACGCAAATATATCTCAATGATCACGCAGTACAGCATGCTCTCGCTGACCACGTTTGCTAACAAGCACTAGTAATGTCGAGTTATGTAAATAATGTAAAAATTCCCGTCTATTTCCGTTAGTATTACTTAAATATATAAATTTGTACTTTGTACGTTTTCTTGTCATTTTGTTTGCACTAAGCAAACATAAGTGAAAATATCTTCATAATTTGTGCTATTCTTATTGAATTGAGTTTAATTAATGTTAAGTGCAATATTGCATATTGTTTGGCTTTTGCTTTGCCCAAAATTAAATGCAACTTTTGGTAATGAAATGATGTCAACGAGACGATTGCTTACGCTAATTCAGCCACTGCATTAACACCCTCCATCACAACTCACAACACAACTTATTTCATTTCATTTAAATTGTGATAATGTATATCAATGTTTATTTATTAAATTGTAATGAATAGTGAATGTCCTAATTCACTTTGGTAAGAATTGTCAACACTGTCAAGTGTCAACCAGTGTCTACTGAATAATGACCACAGATACCTAATATACTAGATGGTAAATAGAGAGAGCTGGAAATACGTAAAAAACACATAAAAAGTGTGTGTGTGTCAGCTACGACGCACGATTGGAGTTTACTCCTTACGAACGATAAAATGGCGATAATGTTCTGTGGCTGTCGACCATATTTTCATACTAAAGGTGGTAAGAATATATGTTTTTATAATATAAATGTTTGTAGTAGTAATAAAACGTACCTACATCATCTATGCCCAAATAGGATTTTCTTTCTGTGACCAAAGTTACCTTTATAGTAAGAGAAGAATAAGAATGAACAATCTTTTTAGTTTTAATTTCACTGACCATTACTATTGACAAAACTCTATGGCACGCTAGACAATCTACTTTTATTTTTTACACCTGTCAACACTGACAATGTTGTAACGTGGCTGTCAAAACGTGAATTCAAAATAGAAAAGTCTGTGTAATGTATTCCATCTCATTCTTTTACACGTTCAATCCTACAGATATATATGTTTGTCTCTTTCTACATAACGCCTCAACTTTTCGTGTTACACTTGATTTTACTCCTCATAAAATTTCCGTACCGGGCCTTATAACTCAAATCGTTTCTTAAGGAGTAAACTCTATATGTTTGTCTCTTTCTACATAACGCCTCAACTTTTCGTGTTACACTTGATTTTACTCCTTATAAAATTTCCGTACCGGGCCTTGTAACTCAAATCGTTTCTTAAGGAGTAAACTCCAAAAATAAAAACCATAGAATTGAAAAAATAATCATTGCTGAGGGTTGACACTACCATGACTGAAATTAATTTTATTTTTTAAACGTAAACGTTCGTTCACATTTATTTCCCATTAAGAAATGACACTGTAGCTTTTTTTATTACTTGGCATTACTGTCCAGTCGTCCTACGAACTCCGAAACTTACGCTTTTCGCATTCCCATGAAGAAGACTTTTATATTCATCACAGTTATTCCATATAAATTGTATAAATTCAAATTGCAGAGTTAATTTTAATACTAAACAGGGCACACTTTTTTGACCAAATTTCGGTACAAGTGAATTTATTTTATTATTTACGAATAATGTTTAAATTATATTATGTCTATTATTAAAAATATAAATTTGTTCACATTTGATGTGCTCTCAGCTACGATTCACCGTATAGTACTGGAAACCCAAATAAACAGGTTAGAATTAAGTACCGAAGAAAAAAATATAAAATAAACTAAAAGTATCAAAACCACTGAGTCCAACTTACCGGTCAAATAATACACGCGCTTTAGAATCAAAGATTAACTTTGATTTACACCTTCTTTCTTTATTTACGATAAACATTGAAAACAATATATCTCGCTTCGATCGAAGTGCCTCTTTCGACATTTTCACAAAAACAACAAATTTCAAGAAGATAATCACAAAATCTCAGGAGGGGTTGACAGATCTCGTACTTTGATTTGACGGATGACACTCGACATTGCCATATGAAAATCTAATTAGGCTATTGCATAGATTTTATCGCGGGCTTTGAGCGCGGCGACCGAATCTAGAAATTCCGTAACGAAAATAAAAACCTAACTCACGATGACGTAATATAGGTGCGGCTAATACGGGTTAGAGCGGGACAGAACGTATACTGCGTCTCACATCGGTCTGACGTATCGGTGACGTAATGTAAGCGCGGCCGGTGCAGCCGGTACGCGTTAGAGTGAGACAGACTATATAGGCGTGTTAGTCTGAGTCTGGTAGAATGGTAGATTGAATTAATATCAAAGAAAAAACTTGAAATATTATCAAAGAAAAAAAATACGTCATAAATAAAAAATTAATATAATTGCATACGTTGATAAAAAATGCAATGCAAAAGCTTTACCGCGGCAGTCCCCGAGTACCACGCGTTTTTTTTATATTTTTGTTTTATGCCATGAGATTCCGGTAGACTTATACATGTAAAAATAATAAATTTAATCGTTCCTATAACATTCCTCATTGTCGTCGATATTTACATGATCTCCGTCGTTGCTACTACTCCAGTCGATGACTTGACCGTCATAAAAGTCGCCTTCTCTATCAGTTTCTGTAAAAAATAAAGAAAGTTTATACAATTATGAATAATTAAACAATTATGTACGTACAATAATTAGTCATAATAATAACATACTTACCTAATTGAGTTTTGAGCGAATCATTAACATAACTTGGTATTTGGTCCGTTTCTGGTTCGATCCCTTCGATGTCTTTGATCTGATCGAATTTGCTCAGACCTAGCTATAGTGTACTCTATCTGATGGAGTAAAGTATCGATCAAATATCACGTCAATTCATGCTGGACCTATTTGTCTTGGCATTGCATGAAAGCAGATCTAACTGTCTTGCAAATTGTGCCGTCCAAATGGCACATTGACGATGGTACTGAGGTATTTGGGTAAGACAAAATCTTTGAAATGTTTACATGAAAATCCATTGAGATATGCGTCCTAATAAATCTGTTGTCAGTTGATCCACTGTCAACACTGTTCATCCATTGATTGTAATGAATGATGTTGTTTTAGATATAATTTATCTGCGATTTCGTTCAGTTGTCAAATACATTTTTAGGTTAGACATCAGTGAATGTGAATATTTTGTTGTGGTTTCAAAGTAAATAAACGAAAAATAAGTGAAAGTCTTCTTTTATTTGTTATGTTGTCCCAATGTATATTTGCTAAGGTATAAATTTGCCTGTAAGTCACGCAATAATATCTTACTAAATTTTTTTACGGAACTTTTAGTTGTATTAATATGCTGTGGTAGCAAAGATCACTTATATTTTTTTATTATTTTACAGAAGATTTGGGCATGGCCAATGCTTTTATTTAATGTATAAAATTAACAGTTGATCTATATTTAACCTGATTTTGTTAAAATGTTTAAATTATATTGGTCACAGAAAGATGCCGTTTTAGCCTACAAAACTTTAGTTTATACAAACATAATATATACAATTTAAACGATTCAATTACAATGTGACTAATATAAAAATATATGTATTGTTATGTATTAGTTTATTATACTCCTAAATATAATTGGATCCCAACAAAATGTCGATTTAAAAATATTGCTACACTTTTTTGTAAGGCGTTATTTTGGTCTCTAATTTCTTATGGGGAGAAATACTGCCTTGTGGCCCTATGGATTATTGGTATTCCGAATGAATGCAGACACAGAAGGCTCAGGCTACACTTTACCCAAGTTTTACTATACTTCGAAAATCGAAAGCAATACACATCATCCTCATCATCAAATATCAATCAAAACAAAATTGATCATAAAAATATCAATTTTGTTTTGATTGATGTTTGTATGATCTCTACATGTATGTCATGTTTGCCTTTAAGTGCTTGTCACATTAAAAATTGTATTTTGTGTTTGTTTTTACCGATGTATCAGTGTGCCGAGCGTTGGCAAGCTTTTTATGAATAAAAAAAATACACTGCACCTCGCCTACTACGAACATCAACAAGTCTGTACTCAATTTAAGAAATATGAAACACAGAAATCATATATTGGAACTACTTCTACTAGTAGTGTCAATAATATAATTGATTTGTTGCATCCTTACACATAATATGTTCAACCGGGCGCAGTTTCTTTTCTCGTACATATTTGGTTAGTATAATTTTATCACAAAACATAATTCTTAGGGACTTAGGGTAAACCCGCGTATGTCAAAACCTAATCTTCCCAACAGCGTTCTCGTTTCTGAATATCACCCAGAGTAGTAAAGGTATCAAAAGAGATCGCTTATTAATATTACTCTAGGCTATTAGAAAATTATAGCCCCAAGATGCCAGTTAGAGGCTTGACTTCGTAAATCAGGTAACTGAGCACTTTTCAACGTTTACCAAGATCTTGTTTTCAGATGAAGCTCATTTTCATCTTAATGGACACGTAAATAAGCAGAATTGCCGCTACTGGAGTGCAACGAATCCGAAACGCAAACATCAGAGACCCCTTCATTCACCTATAATGACTGTATGAGCTGCGATGTCAGCGCGGGGAATTATCGGCCCTTACTTTTTTGAAGATGAAACGGGGTGCACAGTTACAGTCAATTCAGAGTGTTGTGAATGTGAAAATATTAGACGACTTCTTGGTGCCTGAACTTTAAAACATTCCTGGCTGTAACCAAAGAACATGGTTCCAGCAGGACGGAGCAACGTCACACACGTCCAATACGTCTCTACCACGAGTTCGTAAAATTTTCTCAGGCACATTGATCTCCAGGAAAGGTGACATAAATTGGCCTCCACGCAGTCCTGATTTAACCCCTATGGATTTTTTCTTATGGGGTTATCTTAAATCTAAACTCTACGCCAATAAGCCGACTTCTCTGGTGCAATTGAAATAAAATATCCGTCACGAAATGGCAGCCATCACTGAGTCCACCTGCCGAGCCGCCATAAGTAATTTTATTGTTCGATTAAATGAGTGCCGCGAACGCGAGGGTCTACATTTGGACGAAATTAATTTTAACAACTTGAATAATGAATAAACACATTTTTGATACACGACTTACTTTTTCTTTATTCAACTATGTATTTGAACTTTTGTTTGAGACACCTTGTACTATTAGGCGCTCACGGCTTTGCATGGAGTTCGTATCCTTTTCAGTAAGATTTTTTTTATTAAAAATGGGATACATTTATTATAAAATATTTTTACGTGAAGTAAATAGTTCACCTGCTAGAGTGATTAAATTAATATTGATAAATTATCAGCACTAGCCATCGGTGAACGGGCAGCTTCTACGTTGTTTCCCATGAGCTGCGTAATGCGTTAGACACATCGTTCAGACAATTGGTTTTTACTTTTACTGTTTAAAGTACTGAGTAGGTTCCTTCCGACGGCATGTGTAATATATATCAATAATAAAAATATTGCGCTCAGAGCCGCATTCAAGTTCAAGAAATCCAGCCATCGAGGACGTACGTGAAACCTGGTATTATTTCGGTTCCTGCGGTGATGAAACCGATAGGTAGTCATAAATAGCTCATATTTGGGGGGCAGCCCAGAGTTAAGAGTAGTATTCCAACTTGAGCTCTACAAGCTGCATACGTTGTACCTCAGTCAAATATAGTTATTAGTAAAAAGATTACAATAAATCCTATGGACATCCTTGAAGGATGATGAGAGTGGCCAGAAACCTTTTGCGTGTTACATATTATACATATACCTAAATGACTGAAGTTGAGATAATGTCAGGCAATTATACCTATCTTTGACAACGACACAACAACATTACAACGAAATATACCAATTGTACGAGGATTTGGCCGAATATATCAAAATGTCCGGTGACTAATTTGTTACAACGAGGAAGATATAATATGATTCTTTATGATTTACTTTTTATTTTATTTCCTGGGAGTATTGTGTAGCTTAGTCGTCGACTCCACCGATCGTACAAAACGTGCGGGCTGTGGGGGCGGGCCGTGCTGTGCGGCGGGCGGCGGGCGGTGCGCGCTCAGTCCTTGCCGGGAGCCCGCCGCCGGCCGCCGCACAGCTCGCGTCACTCGGCTAAGGATATGGAGCACTTTATCGAGGCCGTGCGCCGCTACCCCTGCCTCTGGGACACCGCCGCGCCCGAGTACCGCGATCAGGAGCTGAAGGACGCCGCCTGGGGGGACCTCGTCAAGGAGACCGACCTCACTTCTGGTACGCCACGCCCCCCGCACCCCATGCCCTTTCAGCCGCAAGTGACGACTGCAGCTGTCGTCTCATTCTATCTAGAATATATAATATATTATATTCTATCTATTGAGGATTAAATTCAGTATCATTTATCAGTAAAATTAATGAAGTATGTATTTTTTAGGGAAGTTATATTTTACCTTGAAATTTTACCGCCTTAAAGGAAAAGACTTTGTTAAAAAATTCTTATTCTCCGTCCTCTGCCCGCTAAAGTACAGTAAATTCGGATAGTGTGTAGAAATGAAATGAATGCTAGCCAGGAAACAATTTACAGTAAAAGAAGTAAAGCTCAAGTGGAAGAAGCTGCGTGACAGCTACCGCGATGCCCTGAAGCGTCAGAGCGAAGTCGCGGCGGGCGGCAAGCGTGGCAGCGCCTGGAAGTACACCCACCTCATGCACTTCCTGCAGCCGCACATGAACGCCCGCAAAAAGCCGCCATTCCCGCAGGCGGCACCGCGCGAGCCCAGCGCCGAGGTCGGCGAGGGTGAGCGCGTCAACGGTCACGAGGGGAGCGAAGACAGCTGCTCGTCGCGGTCGTCGACGCCCAGGCGGCGGCGCACCCGCCCCGCGTCCGTCAAGCGGCCTCTGTCACCGCGACACCTCGAGCTGCCAGACCCGCTTGACATCTTTTTCAACAGCATGTGCCAGTCCACCAAACGGCTCCCGTACCCGGCGCAAATAAAGATTAAAAAAGCGTTATTCGCGGCTGTGATAGAAGCGGAGGAGGGGCTGCTGGCGGAACAGCAGAACTATGCGGCCTTGTGGGCGCGCGGAGCCGCTTCCACCTCGGGCAGCGAGCCCGCCGGGCAGCACGACGACGTCAAACCTTACCCGTGAAAGTCTCGTTTGGGTCGTCGGTGATCAACGAACATTGTAACTAAGATTTATAAGGATATTTTAAACTTTTAAACCGCTATCCGGTCGATCGGATTGCTTACAGTAAAATTCAACTCTACAAAAATTCTCTTTTTAATGCAAAACCTTTTTGACATATCAAACTTATATCGTAACAACCAAGAGTATCCAGCTAACCTATTAGTAAAAAATTAATGTCAATAATATATGTAAAAGTGACTACTTCCTGACACCTGAATGTAAGTACAAACATCAAATTATGATAGCAAATATTCTATGAATCAAGCTGCTGTTGTGGTCAGTTAAAAGGCACAAAAGTGTGCCTTAGTGCGCCCGAAACCCTTCCGGGAATCCTTCGATACAAAGCATTTTCTTAATTCTATCAAGATTTGCACCATAACACCTAAACATATTTACTTTCCTCTTCCGCTTAATAAGCCACATTCCATTACACAAGTCTTTCACGGACCCTGGCACCGACCCAATCTCTGCAGCCGAACCTTGAGCGAGTCACTGACTCATTCCAACAGCTTCAGCTAGGATGCGAATGGTGCCTCCATGGCCATGCACATTGTAGTAGGTACGCCCCGGAGAACACGAAGTCTGTTGTGCTTTCGACATACTCTAGAAGTGATGATCTTTGCCCAAATTAGTTCTAGAATAAACTTTACCCACCCTCTCCTAACACACTTTAATCCACGCGTTCGAAAGTTTCTCAAATGCTGTATAGCTAAAAGCTATTGATGCTCAATTAGGAAAAACTTTGATGCTTATTTCATAACTTAATTATTATGAAATATTGAGGAAATCCGATTTATAATTATAAAGTTGCGGTGATGTCAATCTGATAACCACTTGTCAAAATAATTAATTATTGTAATTTAGAGATAAGCCGAAACTGTGCTTCTGAACAAATATAACAGTGTATTATAAAATAAAACTTTTAATTTATAAGAAATACATATTTTATTATGTTATATACCTATTGTTTATAGTTAGCGATTATTTTGATTTCACATCATTATTCACATCAGAAACCACCGTTCGAATTACTAATAGATGGTGTGTTTCCTAAGGAACACTTAAGTGTATAATTCATTAGGGTTTAATGTAAATTTACTGAAATATAACGATTATTGTCGAGGAGGTCCCAAACAATTTTGCCAAAATCCACGGCCGGTTGTCAGAGACTAACAACGAGTGCGTGAACCGCGAACTAAATGATTCCAACTTTAATGTACATAACAATAATTTAGGGTTTTATTCTTATTTAAATGTACCTGTCCATACCTTTCTACACGTAATTTTAAGTACATACGTGTACTAGATTGATAACTTATTAAAATGCAATGATTACATTCATTATGCCTCCTGCTAATAGAGGACAAATTTTTGTTTTTATTTTTTTATTATTATTATTACTTAAGATGTCATGTGGAACATGGTGTAATGGTTGCAGCTCCTTACAAACATCGTGTAAAACAAAAAACTTGGCGATAAATAGAGTAGCTGAGAGTTTATTGCCAGTTCTTCTTTTCGGTTCTACGCCCTTGATTTGAGAACTGGCAGTAAATGTAAAATTAGAAGCATTTCATATTATGTACATATATTGATTTTTTGACGTTCATAAGTGTATATTTTGTTACCTATATGAATAAAGGATTTTGATTTTGAATTTATACTTTTAGAATGATGATATTTTATATCCGAAGCAGAAATATTAAATGAGGCATTATGTTGGAGATCACTTGATACTATTTCTTTAATTCCTCCTAGATTTCAGCAGTACACGATAGATAATTTAACTAATATAGTTATATTTAATTGTCCCGGCAATGGCGCCTATCGGCTATGGAAGGACGTGTGAACGGTACAAATACAGTAAAAACGGACTGTTGAAGTCCGCGGCGCGAATCGATAGCTGCGTGGATCGTGAACGAGCGTGGCCTGCAGGGGAAGGTCGGCGGGCGGCGGGCGTCTGCGCTCTTGCTTGCTCACGTGTTCGTCGCCCATCTCGTTTCCACGCGCCCGACCGCCTCACGCGCGAGCGAGACGGCAGAGGAGCTTCCAGTGGCTGCGTGCCGATGTGTGTGTCGGTTTGTTCGACGTCGCGCATTGCCGCGGCGTGACGTCCAGGCGAACGCCGAACGGCGATGGCGCGGCGGGTGCGCGTGCGGAAAGACCTGTCAAAGAAGCAGAAAGACGTGGGGCGCCTGGTGGACACGGGACAGGCAGACGACAGGCGTCTCATCCGGATGGTGCAGGCGCGCCCCGTACTGTACGCGCGCAATAACATGCCCGTCGCCAGCTACTACACCAGTGTCAAGCGACAATGGCAAGAAGTGGCGCAAGAGATGGACTGGACAGGTGCGTGCCGTTAATGTTGTGACATTTAAGTCCTTGCGGTAATGCAAAACTGCCGCCTGAGTCGCCCATAGTCACCGACTGCGCCGTTACTTTAGTATACGCTTATAACACTACTCCGTACTTCACTTCAGCATTTTTCATGTTTTAGAATACAGATCTAAATTACTTTATCTCTGTAGTGCTACACACAGTACACAAAGAATAGCTTGCATCTACAGTGCAATTATACTGAATGGATGTATAGTGGGAACCAACCTTAGCGTTAAGGAATCACTTTTCTATACGTATTATGATTTAGGAACGTGAATACTAAATTAATCAAATAGATTAATAAAAAATAATATATAGTAGTTGTGATCTGTGAAAGTACATATAATATAATTAAACCTTTATTGTTTAGTAATTAGATTCGTACTTATAATATATAAGGTATATCTTTGAATGCAGTAGGTAGCACCCACAATCCACAGGCACAAAAACCTTTCAGAGTTAATAATTATACAAAAGGTGTTTTTTCTAAACAGTTCCAGACTGATTTTTGGCACACCCAATTTCTCCCCATGTATACGTCTTACTTCCACTTAAAAATATGTATGTTTCTGTGCACGAATAAGGATATTTCTAAAATATAAATACAGGGAAGAGATAAAATTTTGAGCTTCATAAATAAAGGTACGCCACTATGAAGACAGTTTGCTTCACAAATTGCTCTAATACATTTCTTTATATATATATGTTTTACTTCAAATAATTTACTATTTTGGTGAAAACCTATTAACATTATATGTTTTATAAAGAGTACTACGTCTTCTACCGGCATATACCATTACTCACACACATAACTATTGCCTCTACTCTCAAAAATATACTGTCCGACCACAACAATTCCTTTTTACGGATTCATAAATATCTCTCTAACCCACCATCTACTTGTGTCTATAAAATTCGATAGCAATGATTTAATCCAGGCCATTGATGGCACGAAATTCAGCGATAGCGAGCTTTTATGGCATCCTGAAGACTGCAAAAGTTTCCTCTGCAGGCCCAACCTATCAATCGTATCACAAAATATTCGTAGTGTCCAGAAAAACTTCGACGCCTTTACCCTCTTTCTTGCCAGGCTCGGGTTCGATCCAGAGGTCATTGTACTTACCGAATGCTGGATCGATCAACATTTTGACGGACTCTGTTTGAACGGATATATCTGCAAATACTCAACACAATATATTAACAAATGTGATGGTATTGTTATTTTCCATAAGCCGGACATAAACGTCAAGATATCCGAACCTACTTTTTCTGAAAGCAATTGTCTAATCTTGACAATCGATGATGACATAGCAATAGTAACATTATATCGTTCTCCATCCTTTGTAAACATTGACAATTTTTTGGCATCGCTAGATCAAATCTTAAATCAAATTCAAAACAAATCTACCTACATAGTAGGGGACATAAACATTGATATAAAAGAATCGTCAAGTGATATCAGGAAAGACCAATACTTAAACCTTATAGGTTACCATGGGCTTGCACCTGGCCACACCTTTCCAACACGAGAAGGAAACTGCTTAGATCATGCTCTTGTAAATTCAAGCCTCCTAGCTAAAGTGGCAGTTTGCCCTTCATTAGTGTCAGATCACCTTTGCGTTATTTTAGGAATTAACACCATCCCCATAGCAACACCACAGCCTGAGGCCCTTAGAAACAAGACCCGAATCAACTATGAAGGAGCTACAGAAGAACTAAAGCTCACTGACTGGAAACACCTCTATGACATCAAAGAGATAAATAACGCAGTTGAAACCTTTAACGATACGCTAAAGAATGCCATCTCAAAACATACCGTCATACAACCAGCGAGAAACTCCAAAACCATTAGGAAACCATGGATGACCGCTGGTCTTCTAAATTGTGTAAGAAAAAGAGACACTCTTCACAAAACCGCTAGAAAACATCCCAAAGATCTTGAACTATTGGATAAATATGTAAAATATCGAAACTTCTGCAATAATCTTCTAAAGAAACTTAAAGAAAACTTTGAAAAAAGCACGATTAGGCAGAACAGACATAACACCAAAAAACTATGGGAGTCAGTAAAAAGTATATGCCACATAGGCTCAAAGGAGTCGCATTCCACTGACCTACTTCGAATAACACCCGATCCTGTGGTAGCTCTAAATAAAGCCAACGACTTTTTTACAAACATAGGCAATAGTTTAGCGGAAAGGACTATCACATACTTACATACATCTGAGGAACAGCTAGCAAAAAATATAGATAAGCCATCCAATCCAAACTCATTTTTCTTACATCCAACAGACGAAGAAGAAATATGTGCAACTATCAACAAACTTAAGGGTAACTCAGCTGGAGGTTGTGACAACATAGGAAGCGAACTGATAATCAGACTTAAAAACATCCTTGCGGCTCCTATAACCTACCTTTGTAACCTTAGCATGTCGACCAGCACCTTTCCTGAAGCTTGGAAGCTAGCCAATGTAACCCCAATCTGGAAGTCAGGAAACAAAATGGACGTCTCTAATTACAGACCAATATCCCTTCTCCCAGTCATAGCCAAGATCCTAGAACGAATAGTGAACAAGAGGCTGCTCTCATTTTTAGAAAAGCAATCGCTCATTTCCTACAACCAATTCGGGTTCAGAAAACAAAGATCTACTGCAGACGCTGTCAGTAATCTTACTGACCATATAAGCGAGAAATTGGATATGGGGCAGGTATGTATAGGTGTCTTCTTAGACCTCGCAAAAGCCTTCGACACGGTCTCACACTGCATTTTGCTGCGAAGAATGGAACTGTTAGGAGTGAGAGGGGTGGCTCTGCAATGGTTTGCATCCTACCTTAAGGATAGGCAACAGCGTGTTAGTCTTAGGGGACACACAAGCCACAAGAAATACGTCAGATTTGGAGTACCACAGGGCAGTGCGCTTGCACCGACCCTCTTTTAATATATATCAACGACCTGTGCAGTCTGCCACTGGACAACGGAAATATTTATTCATTTGCCGACGATACAGCTATGATATTTCATGCTAAAACTTGGGAACAGGTTTCTGTCTTAGCTGAGAAAGGTATAAATTGCGTCTCCAACTGGCTTCAAAACAATCTGCTTAGTCTAAATCTCAGCAAAACCAAATTTATGTGTTTCAGCATAACAGATCGCTCCCGCCCAACGACCCTACCAGTCATAAAACTCCACACGTGCTATAACCAATATCCATGCCAGTGTCCTGTTCTCGAATACACCGAAAGTATAAAATATCTAGGAATAATAATAGATCGACACCTCACTTGGGAAAAGCACATTGATGCACAGTCTTCTAGGATCAGAAAGCTTATGTTAATATTTAATCGACTGAAACGAGTAGCGGAGGACGAAGTTATTAGAATAATTTATTTTGCACTTTGTCAGTCTATTCTCACATACTGTATATCGGCATGGGGAGGAGCGGCTGAATCTCTATTGCTTAAGTTGGAACGTGCACAGAGAGCAATCCTTAAAGTTGCCTATCGCAGGCCGTTTAGATACCCCACAGTCAAACTCCACCTAGAAACAAAAACCCTCTCGGTAAGGAAGCTTTACATCTTGGCGACCTGTTCAAGATATCATAGATTCCATGGGCTCACAATTCAGGACACATCTAAGAACAGACGTTTTGCATTCCCAACGCCAAAACGAAGGACTGTATTTGGACAACGCTCCTTTGCATTTAGGGGCCCCTTCCTTTATAACAAAATCTCCAAATCTATGGACTCTGAGATCGTAAAACTATCCAGATATAAATTAGCAAGTCACATAGAAACTACACTAGCCAAATTGGATTTCGAATCCACAGAGGCATTACTACATATCTTGGTATGACTTTGAGGTTTCATAAACACAGACACAGTGCACGATCATAACAACTTTCAGCTACATTCTCAAATACATGCGCAAACTCACCTATTCACACACTCACTCATTCACTTCATACGTAACACTAAATTTATAACTATTATTGGTATTTTTTATTTTTTATTATCATTTTTTCATATCACATTTTTAAACTAATTTTAACATGTACCACGAAACAATTGTTTTCTAGTTACCCACAACACAGGGCCTCCCTAGTGTGGGGACTAGCGATTTATGATTTCTGTCACAAACCTTTCTGTCAGCAATAAAGTTTTTATTATTATTATATTTATTATTGTAAGTTAGGTATTTTATTTTGCATATTAAACTATTTTGGTGAAAACCTATTAACAATGTAAATCTGTGCAGTGGCCGAAGTACGTCGCAAGTGGTCGCACATCCGCAACTCGTACTCGCGCCACCTCCGCAACGAGATGCACGGGGCGTGCACGAGTCGCGGCCGCATGGTGTCCAAGTGGTACCTCGCCGACGACCTGGAATTCCTCCGAGACCACATGGCCACCGATGCACGTTCCGTGCCCTATCCCACCTTCGCGCCCACGCTGCTCGACCTGGACTCCGCCGATGACGCGCACGACGTCAAGCCGCTGCTGTCACCCGCGTGGTTCATGACTCCGCCGCTCGCGCCCCGCGCTTCCAGCGACGACGGATGCGGTTCCGCCTTCGGCTCCGAGGAGAGCTCCTCGTACTTCCAGTTCTTCCGAGGGTTGCACGCCGACTATCAGATGCTGTGTGGCTCACGCCAGCGCGCCTTTCAGCGGCGCTGTCTGGCCGTGTTGCACGCGCTGCTCGACGAACGCGACAGTGGGCGACCGCCGCCCGTCAGCGACGACGAGAGCGAAGCCAAGGCGCCCGAGGTCGAGCCGACGGATTTCACCTCGACGACCTACGACGACGCCAGGTGAAGGTCTCTCGCGTATTGACCACTGAGTCAGCCATCTTTTTCATTCCAGTAATTATCTTGTAAAACGGTATTTACTGTTAATTAAACGGAAGTGTGTTTAGTTTTGTTACATAATATTTAATCTAACTTATATCAATGCAGTAAGCAAACAAAATGTAATGGTAAGGATATATACAACATCTGTATTATTTATCGTAAATCGTACGACTTGTGAGTATATTCGATATTAATACAGAGAGAATTTTAATTAATGGAGGTGGCGGGGCCTCTGTTTCTTTTGTATCTACTTTCACGATAGATTAACAAAATAATAACTCACGGGTACGAAGCAGATCTGCGAAAAACGTGTACCTATTTGTTATGTCAAATACTTTTACCATCATTCTTGTTTTAAAGGCATTACATTAGAGAATTTTATTATAATAAATGGTCGTTATTATTGCTATTAGTATTAGTATACACACGGCTCAGCCTATTGGTAGGACTTTTAACAGTGTTCATACATATTATTATAAACGCTCAATTGAAATAAAGATATCGTCATATAGATTGCTGAAGTATTCCTAATGTCTGTATGCCTTTCCAGGAATATTCAATTCTTAAGAGAAGAAGAGAGTCAAAGACTTAAATGACATCCTACTTAATAATGATGAAACGTAAACATTTACAGAGTAGGTAAATCCCCCACAGTGGTGCCTCGAGAGACAACGATAAAGGCTATCTACATCAGCTATCCTTTATTCTTGCAGTGAAAGTAGCGGATCCCCTCGGAAAATCGGAACACGTCGCATTAATTAAAGAATTTGTAACGAGACGATTGCACCGCCTCTTACATTGTTCTCTGTATTAATTCGGTGCGAATCCTCTTTACCTCCTTCGGCAGATTATCGGCAGAGCCGATAATTCAGGTCAACGCAGTTGTTCTAGGTCTATATTATACGAACGCATCAGTGCACCAACTGTAAATAATAAGATATATCATTCCAGAGAGTTACCTACGTTCATGATTGCACAATATAATTCTTCGATAAATCGGAAAATTTTGTGTTTGCGCCGCGGCCGGTCTAATTATGAAGTTTTGATTGCATGTGTCTAATGAATATCCAATCAGAGTTCAGACCGACCCTTTAATCAGGATTTCACGCGATAAGTGGTCCACGAGGAACGCAGCTCAATAGAGGCGTAACAAACAAACGCTGTTGTTACGAGTATAAGTACAACATTGTAATGGCATGCGATGAAGCGCTTTATTGAATAATTATAGTTAGTTTTGAGAAAATACAGACACTTAAATTTATCGTGTATAATTAAATGTAACAATGACATAATATCTTCGCTCGATCTCTTCTGATGAAATAAGCTCCAACTGAGAGCTGCCACGGGTCAACACCACCACTGTACTTCGCCGCCTCAAAGCACAAACATTTCATATAAGATATATGATAGCTAATTTTGAAAGAAAATTTGAAAACTAGAGTACTATCTATCCTTTACCTATATAGTGGTCTAAACTCTAAAAGCTAGCCGATGTATTACTAATTTTACTATTAATGAGAATTATTATTGATAAAATCTTCGTAGGAAAAGCATTATTCGGTGGGCATCTTTTTCGTGGATCGATCTGGTTGACCGTTGATGGAAGTCCTATAGACAGGATTTTGTAATCAGACTGAAAGTTTTCAGGATATTAACTGAAATGTCTCACAAAAATCCAAAACGCACGCCGCCACGTCGTGATTAGACGGTTGTTAGTCGATGAATAGTAACCTATATCATATAAAAAAATAAAGTTTTTAATTAAGATATTAATAGAACAACCAGTTATCCTTATCGAACCAAATGTTAAATGTTTTAGAAATCATAATTTATTTTAATTTTTGTAAGATAGGTACGCGTTAGTTTTAGCTATATTGACGATGTCAAAACTATAACAGTCAAACAGTTAAATCAAAATATAATTTATATACGTTATTTTACAATTATTTAATTATAAAATATATTTAAAATAGTGAGCTGAGTTTCATTTTGATTCATTTCATACTATACCATTAATTCTATTCTATTCTACACTTTTTATTGAGTAGAACACAGTTTACTTTTTGTACAACGGGCCTTGTTAATCGTATTCATACTTAATAAATATATGAATGATATACTAATTGTATTTAATCTTAACGTTATTATCAATGATATTATGTATACTCGTGGATAGCAAAGTCACAATATGTTATAGGTCTCTTTAGTTTTGACAACAACATACAGATAATATAGTATCTACTAAGGTATATTTATTACTTTATTTGTTTTTCGGCTTACGCAAAAGCTAAAAATCACTCAAAAAAATTAACTTATATAAAAATTCACTAAAATATATTATTTACAATATTTATTATTTCCATTGCCTGGTCTTGTATTTCCAAGAGAAATGAATATAATCGTCGATATATCTGCATAATACTTGAAGTAGAAGGATTGTCTTTCGAAAGCGACTTCCAAAAATAGCCTAATATGATCTTCATACCACGTACATAAATTAAATAATTATCCTTTCATATAATATTATATATTAATATTGTTACTTAATAATAATAAGTGCATTTTGATATTCGTTCATTTTTCTTAAAGAAATTATTACCGTAGGCATTCAGTAGCGTCACAAATCACAATGCTATGACATGATATTCCGGCAACTGTATTAATTGACGAGTATTCATATCTGTTGCTATAGGCGTCTGGCGGCGAATGACCTTCTTTTGAGGTGCTTTAATCTATTTCAGGATATAAAATATTATATTATATTCATGTGAAAACTCATCAATAAGAAAGTGTAAGAGAAGTTTCCTCACTGCTTATTCTTGTTGAATTGTGAAATAAGTTGTTCACATCAAAGAAGCGAACGCGAAATTCGGTATCGGTAAATACAGGTCGATAATTTACGCCCCACGGCTCGTGGCCCACACCGCTTTCCGAGTTCACACAACATTAGACAGAAAGATGAAGTTTATTTATAGTTTCCGTCGGACGAACAGAAGCAATAAATGTAACGCATTAATATTTCGGCTCGTTGCCCTTCCCTAGATTCCCCCTTCCCTCCCCGTTTGGGACATAACATTGACGTGAAAATATTCTCGCAATTCCATTCGTGAAAACAATTGAAATTGTAATAGAACCACTCAATGCTCTTTTCCCTCCTTCAAACAAACAGAGTCTGGCACCTGGAGGATAATATCGCCGCGATCGGACCTAATCCGGGATTACTGCTACAAAGGCTCGAGTATTTTCTTGTAACACGCTTTTATCTCTCCGCAAACAGTTTTCCTGTTTGTTGGGCTGAGAAGGGTCAACATATCTAGTTATGTTAGGTATTGCTTCAAGCTTAATGTTAATAAAAAAATAAACATTTAATTAAGAAGTCATAGCTCTAGCTGAATGTAAGTCGTGCTTTGTATCAGCCAACCCGTTATTGCCGCTTTCGTAGACACAGAGGTCCCATGTCCTACTATTATATATATTATTTAAAAATAGAAAAATTGCGAAGATTAAGTATACTTATGTATGTGATACTTAGGAATAATTATGTGAGAATACAGAGGAGCTATAATTTGGTTAAATCGAAGTGTGCAACCCGATCGGAGCGAGTAAAGGGGTGGGAAAGGTTTAGGGTTGAAATAACTTTGAATTTGTAAGGAATGTTACTTGGAGCAGAATAAATTAAACTTCAGAGTTAATAATGATGGATTGGATTGCTACACAGCTAGGTATACGAGTTTACACCAGTTACAATAACATTTAGTATGGTATAATTGATTATGGTATGATCGAGCAATATACTATTTTGATATCCGTCCAATGTTGTAGGGGAGACCTGGCGACTACATTTGACGTGACGTGCTCACCTTGGGACGTACGCTCGCTTACTCCTGTCCGCCCGGTTCGAATTACTCACCGCCAAAAATTTGCACACATCTATGGTCAAACACCTCTGCAAAACGGCTTAATCTAAACGCTGTCTTCTTCATGTCGGAAGAACGAGCACGAAGAAATTATGCAAATTGCAACTTTAATTTTACGGGCTCGTCGCTCAGAGATGAGTAACTTGAACAAAGAGATAACACGTCATAATGTTGAAACCTCGAAATGTCTCAAAGTCATTTACTCATCACTAGCGATTGAGCAGGAGTTAACGTAAATAAAAAAAAATATGTTTATTATGGAACATAAGATACATGTATCACTTATTCCACGTCATCAAATTTGAATTTGTAGGCATCCCTACTCATCGGCCGAGAGAAAAAGCCGGCGTATAAAACTCTCGGTACTCTTTTAAAATAGCAAATCATCAAACAACACTTATTTTAAAACAAATATCGCAAATTAATTAGAAGTAGCCTGTAGTAGTCCCAGGCCCTTTTATCCACTAGATAATCGTTAATTTTATAGTAAGCCTTTTTACACAGCTTTTCTTTAATACATTTCTTAAATTTATTGAAAGGCAGAGATAAAAGAGCCTCTGGGATTTTATTAAAGAAGAGTATCCCTTTTCCCAAAAAAGAATTACTAACTTTAGATACTCGTAGTCTAGTTCGGGGAAATTGCAGCCTGCGTTTGTTCCGTGTATTAACATTGTGCGTATGTTCTATTCTAGTAAACTTATCACTATTTTTGTATACATACATAATATTTTCACAAATATATTGCTAGGGAAAGGTAAGTATATTAATTTCCTTGAATTTATCTCTAAGAGATTCCCTAAATTTTAAATTATAGATTGCACGAATAGCCCTCTTCTGCAGGATGAAAATAGTTTCGACATCAGCAGCATGGACCCCATAATAAACATCACGTGAGGTACCTAATATAAGTACATATTAAGGAAATCACCTCATTTATCGAAGCTTTACACCTATAGAATACTCAATATTAGGGTCGTCAAAGAATTTAATAAGCATAATATAATTTTGATTTAGAAACGAAAGTTAACGAGTTGGCACCAGTTCTAGCACTAATAATATCTACACTTCTAAGAAGCAGAAATGACGCGAACACCTTGACAGTGACATTGGTTGATACTTGACAGCAGGTGACAGGTTCAGGGTTGAAGAGCTGGCTTGACCGTTCCAAAAGTGAACACCTAAGAATAAAAGTTTTTGTTTGGTAGGCACAAATTGGCATTTTATTGTAATAAAGATTAATAATTTAATGTAGGTAATTTAATCAAACCTTTCTGGGCCATCGCGTATTTTTATTAGCGTAGTTTTGAGATATTAGTATTTATTTTTGTTATTTACTGATAAGACTAGACTATTAATTAAAAAAATAAAGTAACCTTTTTACACAGTAACCACGCATCTTTTTTAACGTTTGGGTACAGACGCTTATTATTTTTACTTAACTTTATGATTTAAGGAACTTTATGGCGCTCTCTCTAATGTTCATGTGCGTGTTATTAAACTGTTTTATATCAAAATACACTCGTTGAATATTGCTCATTGTCATGGCGAATAAAGGCTAAAATGACTCGTCCTGCAAATAGACTCCTCGGGCGGTTATGAATTATTTGCAAATAAACAAAATTACATTCTATTAGTAAGTCATAAGGCTCATTTCAGGGTGTTAAGTCAGCAGGTCGATACGGGACTTGCGCAAAGGAAATGCGTCGGTCCCTTGATCGGTTGCACGACCGAGTGAGGTTTTAGCAGGTAGTCAGATCTATCGGCCTACAGATCGGTGGATATCGTCCTAGCAACCATCAGCTGATCGCGCCCCTTTCATTGAGATATTTTTACTTTCAATGAATACTTAAGTATCGTTTAATGAATACAAATAGGATACCTATGTCCACTTGTTCTTCTGTACTTTGAATTTTGATTTCAGGTGCTTCCGAAGTTATTAGTGGTTTATGAAACATCGAAATTTTTTAATCCCGCAATTCATCATATAATTCGTCAATAAGGTACTTGGTAATAATGGATATTAATGGGTAGTGGGTATAGTATTTCTGCGTGTTCTTTGCGGGAGAACCTCAAAAGAGCAGTTATATCAAATTGCACAAAACTTGTACATTAACGTTAGGTAGTATGAACCTTGAAAACATAACCGTACAGTCGATTTGTAATGCAATCAGTCGACGAACTTGTCCTGCAACTGCATTAGAAACTCTGCAGTGTATATGTTAACAATATTTTATGATTTCAATATACTTCGATATGATATGTACTCCAATTTGTTCATTTAGTATCCATTATACGCAGGAAAGACTGTTTTTCTGTTTCTGTATTAGCAATGTAACACAAATTCTTTCTTATACAGTGCGTCCGCCAGTTATTAAAGAATAATAACTATTGCGCGGTGAAATACTCTAATAGCTAAAACTTATCCGACTGAAATATCTTTTTATAAAGATTTGTTATAGCAGACATTGTGACAGATAGTTTCTGGGAAGGAATAAAATTGGCTGGTCACCAGGTAAAGTACGTCAGTGAACCAAATTGGACACATGATATTTCGCACGAGATTAATTTTAAGATATGTTTTTTTGATTGAATATTATATTTTCATACTTATGTAATTAAAAGAGAATATTTATGAAATCCCTATTTATCTCATGCATGAAGTTGAAAAATATTAAATATGGTGGGTGGAAGAGGAGGAGATGGTCACCCCAATATCGACCGCGTTTAACCTTGGCAGTGAGCGAGGACAGCTATTTGTGTAGCGGGAGAACGAAGGTTGGGGCTGGGGGAGGAAGCACACACCCGCCCTACAGAGGGTAGTCACGGGAGTTATGTCGGATTCAAAAATGTACTTGGAATTCACTTCGGTCGCAACAATCTTTCTGTTTGATGTATTACGTTATTCGACGAGTGAGAGATGGCAGGGCTCCAGTCCATCGAGCCAAATTGTCTCGAGAGCGCACCGGTCCGTCTCTACTGTCTCTGACTGATGTCACGATTATTCTGAATGAAACTGCAGTTATAAGTTATAGTATGAGTTCACTACCTTTCCACCCGCTGCCCTGATCTATATTCATCTAACACAAAAAAGAAAATACTTTACTATTACTTCAACATTTCTTTTGATGTTTATTCTATTTGAACAAAGAAATATAAATAAAAAATTATTATCAATATCTCATGAATGTCGTGTATATTACAGCCGTTCAAGAGTCCTTGACACAATTTGAACCTCTGTGGTTTATAAAAAAGTGCAAAGACTATTGCCAAATCTAATATTATATCTACTAATGTTATAAAGAAGTATAATGTGAGGTCATAGGAGGTAATCTCTAGATCTACTAAACCGATGACAGTTACGTTATTTTTGAGTGTCATAGCATCTATATTATATTTTCGTAGTAGTGGAATTTGATTTAAAAGAGTGCATTCATAGGTAATCCTGTACAAACAGCACTTGCACTTCGCGTCACACAGTATTAAAAAGAACCCGCGCTGCCCCTTTGCCCTCCGCTCTCCCGTTCCACCTCCAACGAAACCTCCATCGCTCTCCGCCCCACTCTCCAGGTGGCATCGATCGCAGTGCGCTTGGCAACTATTATTCGGTGTATCCATTAGCTATTATTGCAACGGCAACTCAAAACTATTTTTATAACAAACAAGTTAAAATGCGCTTTTAAATTTAAAAAAATGTTGTTTCTTATGTTACCAATCGAAATAACCATTTTTTTCTGTACGGATATCTGTTCTTCGTTCCTTTGTCCTCATAGAACTATGAGTCACTGCATATTATGTAAACTGTGGGCACCTTTGTGTATAGACACGGTTGAGGGAACATAACCAACACCTTTGCCTGCACTCTTACTCGTTTTGAATCAAGGAAGGTCAGCTAGTACGATATAAGTATTATAAAAGATAAAGCTTTCCATTGTGAACATTCCAACTTCGAGAAATTATCCTCAGTAAATTAATTAGTAATAAAAACTGTGAAGAGCAATAACATTTTATTGCGCCTTAAAAACCTCCGTAGAGTCTGATTCACTTAAAATGCATCTACTGGTAATAGGTACAAGTATAAAGACTAGATTTAACACGAATAGATTTGATCGGAAAATAAAGTTAAATAAGACTTAATATCGTATTTAATCAACTTAAGCAGCGCCTGTTATTCTTCTGGTGATGGGTGTGGAGCAGGAGCCACCCGTGCAGCGTCAGATAGATGCCATCCGCGCCTTTCGCAACGTCTCCGACGACCTGCTGCTCGTGGACCTCAAGACGTTCGTTACTGAGCACCGGCGTTTACTGGTGAAACCCGAATACTTCGACCCCAGTGTTAAGGAGACCAAAATAAAAACCCTCGACCTCATGAAACAGGCCATCTATGGAACTCAGGTTAAATGAGATTCGTAATATTTTAAAAATGGCAGTTTAAATATCCTCAGTCGTCTAAAATGGTGCTCTCCGTGATGCAGTTGCGGTTGCGTGACCTCGACGGCGTGATGGAGCGATTCAAAGATAACCAAGCGTTCCAGATGGCGTTCCTTTTCTACCGGCTGGACCAGCTCATCGTAGACATGCGTCGTATCTACACTTTGGCGCTCAACAAGCGGCTGCGCAAGCCCATGTACCAGCACATCATCTGGTACGAGCACCTCGCCAGAAAGCACGTTGACGTGCTGTATATAGTGCAGTTCGTGATCGACACGCACGGGCGAGTGATGAAGAATATCAACGTCAACGTTCAGCCTATGATGAGTCAATGACCTTGAATTTTCTTTACAAAATATTAACGAAATGAAAACCTAATAAAATTAATTGTCCACTTAAGAGATTTTGGTAGTTCCCCGTTCTACATCATGTAATCGTTGTAAATATGAAATAGCTATGGCATAAAGATACTACTTCTTTTTCGCTCGAGAAATTATATAACCGAAGTAAGATTAAGCCAGAGCGCTCACAGCGCGCGGAGCGATGCGGTCGTAAGAGCTATTACGCACTGTCGACTTGTCGCCGGCGACTCGGTCGCTTGGGTGACCAAAACATAGGCAACTAGGCAGGAGACCAAGTCGAGCGACAGTATTCCAAGTACATTCGTGCAGAATGGATGTCGAAGAAGCTGCTACAGTAGCGCTACTAATCAAGAGAAAGAAAAATAAAAGAAAATCAAGAGAGTATTGGGTACATCCTTTGTTACAAGAACGAAGATCAAAAGGATTTTTTTTAACTATTTTATGGAGACGTGAGAAAATACCCTCGTAAATTTTTCAACTACGCAAGAATGTCTGTGCGTTCGTTTGATAAGCTATTGTGTCTTTTGAAACCACATATAACTGGCACAGATACAAATTTGCGACCATGTGTTTCTCCATTTTTGTGCGCGACGTCCGGTCGTTACGACAGTTGCTCGCAGTGTGAATGCTTCCAATTGAAGCCGTGCTCCTATTGGTCGTCAGCGACCGGCAGTCGCTTGTGTGTCGCCACGACGCGGCGAGTCGCCCAGTCGCTTGGGCGACCGACGACCAAGTGCGTAGACATCTATTTAAACTGTAGAAACTCACAGTCGCCAGCGACCGAGTCGCCGGCGACAAGTCGACAGTGCGTAATAGCTCTAAGCCCGGCAACGTCGCTCGTTCGCTCGCTCAGTATAGCGCGGGGCTCGCATCGGGAGGCCGTGCCGCCCGAGCCATGAACAACGACAAGATGAACACGCGCGAATACCGCGAACGCCTCATCGACGAAGTGAAGAAGAACCCGGTGCTTTATGACACGCGCCACGAGAACCATCGCGACATCGACGTGCGGGACCGTTGCTGGCTCGAGATCTCCGAGCGCCTTGGGGCTAACTGTGAGTGCGGAGCTTTATGCTCGTAGTCACTCTTCAAGGCGAAATTCACCTTAAAACACTTCTAGTACAGTACATTTTACAGTAACATTACATTTCACACATAGAGCGTCGAGATAATTATATTGTCGTAGTAGCAGTTACTGCTGTACTCCTAAAATAGAAATCGCAAGATTTATTTAATATTTCAGGTCAGCTGAAGAGATGTAGATAGCATTTTCTTAAGTTTGAGAACTCGAATAAAAACGAGTCGACTATGAGTGTAAAGGTTTTCAAAGGCTATATATCTTAATATATATAAATTACGTGTCACGTTGTTTGTCAGCTATGTACTCCTGAACTACTGAACCGAATTCAATCAAATTTGCACACCGTGTGCGGTTTGATCTAACTTAAAAGATAGGATAGCTTACATCTCAATTTATACCCGCAATATTATTTTATTGCCAAATATTTTTTATTATTTGATAGTCACAATTCTAAAAGATGGCGCTGTGTTGAAAGCACCAACGTTTCACATTAGCTACAATTTAATGGCGACCACCAAGAAAGCATGGTGGTCGCCATGACTGGTGTTCTCCTACCGCTTCCCTTGAATAGTTTACTACTATGTAATATAACAAAAACCTCAGCCACAGCAACGCTTGGCCGGTCTGCTAGTATATTATATAATTTATATATCTATATTTATTTTCATTGACGTCATTCCAAGTTGTATATTCCACATTGTTTGTATTAAAATTAAATAAGTTGTCTTATATCATAATCGGTTTGAATCCCGAGAATCAAAATCAATATTTAACAGCTATGTGACTAGGGGTAGCTTCTTCTATGCTTAATAACCAAATCACAATAAATCACGCTTGGATAATGGATTGGCTTTACATTTAAAATACGCCGACATAATTTCTTGTTTTAATTTAGGTGAGGTGTTAAAACGCGAATGGAAGATCCTGCGTGATTCCCTCCGGCAGTCGCTGAAAAAGAGCAACCGAGGCGGCACCACCAAGGCGGGCACGCCATGCAAGAAGTGGCGCTTTCAGTCTCGCATGGCTTTCGTGCTGCCCTACATGACTATGAGAAGGTGGCTTCACAAGTGATTGCTTCAGAGATTTACAATTTCCCGTGCCTTCCTTTTTACTGACACCGACCGCTATTATTACAGGAACCGACGTGTCATCAAAGACGACATCAAGATGGACGAGTCGGAATTGCCGTCGGATCAGGAACTGGAGACGGAGACATGGGGAGCGGCGGAAGTACCGGAAGAGGGTGGTGAGCACGAGGCCTTGGAGCTGTTCTTCGCGTCAGTGTGCCAGAGCAGCAAGCGGCTTCCGCGGCGGCTACAAGCTACTCTTAAAAGGCAGGTCCTGGACGCTCTGCTGCGTGCCGAAGAGCAGTGCGACGATAAAGCTCCCCCCCACAAATGGGACTCAGTCGCGTCTTAGGGCAACCGAATTCTACTCAAACCTGTAACTTACTCAGATCGAACATAATAAATTAAGAATCGTATTTAGAACAACTAAGTCAGTAGGTTTGTATACTGCGTTTCAGCAATCTACACTTCATGACTTTTTTGAAGGGATGATGACGTGATGAAGATCCATGGTCACTAATATATTTAATAAGACTGCTTTAACCTATTTAAACAGTTATTATTTCAATTACATTTTTTATTTTATAACTTGTGTGATTTTAAAATGTAAATATAATACATATTTATCTGTATTCTCTTCTTATTGCGACATTAAGGTTTGCTACGCTAGTGAGACATATCAACAAGTTTTCCACCCGTTACTGCGTATAAATATAACGTAATTTAAGGGCTGATTAATATTCCTGAGCAATGCGAAACGAATATAGTATTTAAAAGTAGATTTGAAGGCTCCAATATCAATATTGTCGCCGGTACGAGGTAATTTCCGACGAGCCTCTACACCCTGAACAGTGAACACCCGCCCACGAAAAGTAGGTACCGCCGCTTCAAATATTCAGTAGATAGTATTTGCCGACTCGGGTTGCCGATGAATTCATTTTCTCAAAATTTTTACAAATCGATTAAGTACAAGGGAAACCTATTTTTACAATATTCTTAAAGAAATTAATTTGGGGGAGAGTTCACGACGTTTCCATCTCGAGTAGGTACGCCAACGTGTTGAGTTTTTCTATTGAGCTATATACTGCTTCAAACGATTTGTTATCGACATGACATTGTTATATGTATAAACGCCACAAACTATCTATATATCACAAAATATGATATAAGGACGATTCTCTGCACGGCGCATCATTAGATTCGGGAGGCAACGATTGCCTCTAAACAACGAGCTTCTTCATGTCTTAGGTTATCATACTCCTTTAAGAAAGAACCTTTGAAGTGAAGCAAACCATTTTGTGTTGTAAATCAAATTATAAATTGTATACACTTCTTTGATGACAATAATAAATAGTAATAGGAGACATAAGACACAATTATAATAAATTCAATGTCCATTTATTACTACTATCACAAATGTTTGATCCTTAATTGGCTACACGTTTATCTCCCGGTCTGATCTGAATTAGCCATATCAGCTATTTCGGGTATAATATGTACAATGTACATACAGCACATAATGAATACATCATAGATAAAATATATATTCATGATCACGTTTATGCCAGCTTAGCAACAATTGAGTTGTCAGGGTCAAATCTAAGTCAAAAAACGTTCAATTGCGCTCAATTATTCAAATCAGCGTCGTAGTACCAGAAGTGACTTAGCATCGTAAAAACGGTAAATACAATCGAAACCTTGATAATTATAAAAAAAAACGAGGCAGTAGTCACGTTTTGTAAATAGTGGCAAATACATAATGTCTTTGTGACATTATTATTGGAATAGTTAGAGAAACATTTTTATCTCACAGTAACCACGTCAGTCCAAGTCTTACTTGCAAGGCACACGGACATCTTGTATCACAACATTTACTTTTCGTATAAATTCTCTGTAAGAGATGACATACACGTAATGCAGCTACATCGGCGGTTACCTTTCCTACGAAAACATATATATAACAATTTGTAGATACATATAAATTACGAACTAAACATTTAGAGATACGACACAAGGGATGGTCTTCCTTAATTCCACCAGAGAGAAGACCATTTTCAATTGTGTACGCTGTAATATAAAAGTGTTATGAGATATCTTGTGGTTGTCAAATAAGTTAATTTAACTTCAAATGTAAAGTGACGTGGCAGCTTACAAGGATAGCGTGACGAGATCCCGAAGGCGAGAAATCGATAGGAACGTGTCGGAAAAAGCCGAGCTCGCAACTTTACAAAAAAATTATAGATTTTACTTAAAAAAACAGACCTTTACGTACCTACGACCTAAACGTTTAATTCGTAAGCAATTTGCGATTTATGCAATCCTGTGAAGTTGTCCGCTCCTGAATTGGGCTTATGAAAAAAAAACTATTGATTTTTTGAAGTTATACTTCTGTAGGCGCGTTATGAAAAATTGATGAGATTGAATTTTTACGATGCGCGCGCACCTGAGACACAAAGTTGTCAGTGTGATTATAGCGTGCGCGAGCGAGATGGGAATAAGACAATCTACAAGTAAAAAGAAATAGAATATGCGTGAAGTTAGCAGCTATGCCAAGAATTTTGAATGACCATAATGACATTTACCTTTTAAACAAATAAAGGAGTTAATTATTTTTTCAAAGAAATTTAGCAATGCTTTTTGAATTATAATCAGAAGTGATTTAAATTGAATATTTAAATCAATACTAATTAATATTAGAAAATATTTGTGAAAAAACTGTGCTCATCAACCTTCCTAAGTGCTTCAATACAATTGAGGTTAACTATCCGTATGTAATATTATTATCGAGTATTATTGTTGAGTAAAACTGAAACATGAACGGTTATTCATTGCTTTTGTTTATTGCGTTTGTTACAGCAACTTTTTAGAAATATTCTACGACTCTATATATCAATAATTGAAATTCTGATGAAGACATTGGAGTCACTTAAAAATAAATACCTAGTATAATGAAATAAAAATGTTTTAAAGATAAATAGTGTTTAATTTGTTTAAATAACTTAATTGTTTTAACTTAAAACTTAAAAGTTTTCATCAATAACAATGGCTCTCACTGCTGCTCCACGCAGTGTATTTTGAGATGAGGGCACTGTTGGTAGTGAGGGCAGGGTCTCTTCATCATCATCAGAGATAGGTTCCTCTTTTGAATCAATGGCTATATTGTGCAATACTGCCAAAGCTACAACATACATCTTAGTGTTTGGTAGAGATGTTCTAAATATATAATAATATATACTTTTAACTTAATAGAATTTATGTTACACTTAATGTAAGAGAATAATAATAAATATTTATTTATTTAATTTTTCAAATGTAAACTGAACTTTATTGACTATAATGACTCCTTTTCTAGTCTTTGATTATTTAATTGTAATTAATTATGTGCATGCAATCAAAAACTATTTTTAATAATGCCAAAGAAGTATAACTTCTTACGCGCGTACATAAGTACACGCACCCTTTTTTTTATGTATTTTAAAACTTTATTGTTAATAATATTGATATTTAATGTAAAAAACTTCAAAAGATTTTTTTTTTCAATTAATTATAAACAAAAGTTGATGAAATTTAAATAAAAATCACGTGACTATAAACGCGCCATGAATGATCACCATAGTTGTGACGTCGCAATGTTATAGCTATTTAATAACAGTTTACAGTACAGCGTTTACGGCTATTACACGTGACTAGACAATAATATTGAAAATTTATTGCTAAAATACGAGTTGTTAGTTGGTTCCGATTAGCTATGTATGATAAAGGATCTATTGAGGCAAAGTCTGATAATATTCCTGAAGTTGATATATTTATGATCACCGATTTTTTTTTAAAATGACGTTCGGTTTAATTCTGCTGAAGTTCGAGGTGCAAAGGCAACAAGGTAAGTCTGTTAAAAAATAATATAATAAATGAAAATATTTAAGTATTTATTCATTATATTAAATATAATTATTTATTAATTTTATTTCATAAATTGTAGAGCATCGCGTGAGAGTTGCGGCGACAAAGCTATAGGTTATGTTCAACTAAGTCGTAAAAATAATATTTGTATTGTAAAAGGACGGGTATGTCCAGAACACCGAGTTCGGAGTAAAGCTTATTCAGTTACTTTAACTATTAATGACAAGTCAAGAAAAATTCAGGATGTTCAATGCCATGACTATGCAGCTTCATCAGGTAATTTATACTCCTATTAAATTTATATTAACAACAATGGTAGGTATTAAGAAAAACTTACATCGAAACGATTATCACGGTGCACTGCTTGAAAGTTGAAACCATTTATTTCGACGTTTGTCATCTTGGGGAACATTTAAAAACATAATTGTCAGGAGTTGTTTTTGTAGTATTCATACATAATGGTATAAAACAAGAACGATAACTTTTGTGGTTCGACATTTTTCATATAAATTTAAATATTTAACAATGACAACAAAATTAAATAGATCAAAACACTGTACCTATTTATTTTTTTTTTTCAACTGCAATGAGTGAAAACTAACATAATATTATGACGTCACACGCGATCGGGTTTGTTCGGCGTGTTTTCGGTACTGTATTCAAAAATAAATTTTTATTTTTAATAAAAAAATAGTTTTGTTATAAAACTTATATAATATGATCTTTCCATTTATCACAGTTTTTTTTTTTTCAAAAACCCAATTGTAACGCTCCCGAGGGTTTAACTGCTTGGTACGGGTTAAGTCGTCTCACTCACAAATTAGTATTATTACCAAGACAACAATGGTAGAAAGTCTTTGCGTCTATGAAACGTAAATGATAAAAGTATTTTTTATACTTGAATAACACTAAGGACTTGTGAAATTTAGGTTTAAATCATCCTAGGCATTGCTGAAATGAACTGTTAACAATTGCAATATTTTGTTGAATGTAGTAATCTAGTTAATTTAAGTGAATTTCGATCGCCTCTACCGTACGAAAATTATTATTAAACACTCACTGGTACTTCCGAGAAATTATCATCCATTAAAAGAAGTCACGGTTAGTAACTGTTACTCCGAACAAAGTATTGCCGTCCTAAATATCTCGTTTTGTCCGAATTAAAATACATATTATATACAATCATTGTTCTTTTTCTGTTTAGCGCCTTATAATTTACATCACTAAAAAATAATTTAGCAACTTCATAAATACATGGTCGTGAGTAAATGAGTACCTTGTATGTAACTAGATACCAATTTTAATACATAAAATAGTTCTATACCACTGAAATATTATGAGATTCTATAATTTTAAAATAATTATTGACAAATATTTTTATAACGTGTTATGTGTTATTATGTGATTAATTATCAAAACGTATTTTGATAGAAATTTTGTAAAAAATTGTCAGTTGGCAGCATTGTGTCGGCGACGGACTGTCTACTGTTACCGAGTGAGATGTCATTACAAAACCACCTACGAGAGATAAGGACAAAGCTCTCGTGACGTGCGAAAGAGGGTTTTCTATCTTCCTTTAACCTTCGCGTTAGAAGGAGACAGTGAAGGTCATGGCGTCCTTCAGAGCGTCCATTTTAAAATAATAAGCGTATAAATTGTAATCATTTGTTATTATTGCGAATGGAGTGAGATCATAGTCAGATATAATGCTTGGAGATATTATTATTTAATTTTCTAAGTACGTTTTAGTTATTTAAGTCTTAAAGAACTAAAGAAATTAGATACTACGTAATAATTCAATTGTTCATGATAGAACTGCGTTGTCCGTGATTTCAAGTTAACTACTAATCGGATAATATGTGAGATGATGTTAAATAAGTATTATTCTTGATCCAAATTTACAACGTTTAGAACCTTAAGTTACTTCTGATAGCCACTTAAGCAGTGCGGCAATTATTATGCGCTTTTCAGTTTGCTTTGGTTACTTAAATCACTTAAACCATACAATGAAAACGCTTGAAACTTTAAAACAGCGTGTGTATGCCCATCTTAGGAGGTTTTACATTTATAGAAAGACTTTAAAAATAAAAATGTCTTAGGAATACATACAACTGGATAGGAAGAATAAATTTCGTCACGAGATCTCAAATCAAGTGACATTACGAGAAAATGAACGGGGTCACCTTTCCCTCACACTTCCGCGTCCTTCACCCACTTCGCCTGAAATTAAAATGTCATCTGATACAAGCAAGTCCAATACACTGGTACTCCAAAGCACAAAAAAGTAAATATAGTTTTATGTTAAAAAAAAATAATATTTATAGGAAGACGTTTTGGAATTTGAAATGTAGCTATCGTGTTATCGGCGGGCAGCAGCCAGGCGGCGTGACGGGATGACGTCACTGAAGTCCCTCAAGCCGATCGTCGCGATTATTTTTCACGTGCCTGTTATGAGCTCCGTTCCTTAATTTACTTCATATAATGCCTCTGCAACAAGTAATGTATCTTACATACTTTTATAGATGACAGCTAATTCGAGATCCACAATGTTTTAGACGAATTAATGGCAACTTATTATGAAGGCGCCTACAACTGAAATAATAGTCATCGTGATTGCAGAAAGTTTTAGAATAAAATTTGCACGAAATTTCGCTAACCGATCCATGTGCGGCCGCTAGCGATGCATCGGGTGGGTGGCGTCTCCCGGTCGGCGCTCAGTCGGCCGGGCGTCGCCACTGACGTGACTCGCATTATCGTAATGTATGGACCTAACTACGTGACACTTATGTAGCCGTGCCCGTATCTGGCCCGCTAGCACGCGCTGTAGCCGTTGCGTTGCGTGCCGTTACTTAAAGTGGCGGTGAGGTTACAGGCGAAACAAAGGCGAGAGTCGCTCGGCAAAACGCAACAAGTGGCCGAAATGGTTAACACGAGCTGCGCAGTCTTCCGGTGCACCTCGTCCTCCCACAAAAACAAGGGACTCAGATTCCATCAGTTTCCACGTGATGAAAGGTTGGATTTCTTTCAATGTTTTTAATTGCCAACATTGAATGTCAAATATATTGCTCTTGAACTCTGTCACGGGTACATAAATTGTTTCTCTCAGATGCCACTTGTGGGTGAAGGCGTGCAACCGTGCCGATCTACTGGCCAAGGACATCGACCAGCTAAAGAATATGCACATTTGCAGCCTTCACTTCGAACATCGCATGTACGGGAAGCTACTTCTCAAGAAATCGGCAGTGCCCACTTTGAACATACCCGCGACGAGGACCGTGTCCACACAGACTGACAATCCCGATGCCCACATGGCGCTTCACATTCTCACCAGTCAGGGAGTGCAGACGGAGGGCAGATACGAGAGGTCGGCCGTGAACCTCGACCAGTTTTTAAAGGCCTGCGACGAGTTCCTGCCTCGAAGTCTGGGCTCGTTCGTCAAGGCTCACATTTATGTGGCTGACCAGACCCGCTGATTGTAGTTAGAGTTTGGCGATACAACTTCTTATTTCTTAGTTCGGTTAAAGATAAGCAGATAAAGGGCTTCATTTTTTATTACGAGAATGTTTGTTTTTGAGAGGTCTACGGATGTTAACTTTCGCAGACTTTATGTCCAATCAAAATTTAGCCCACCGTTATTTTAGTTTATTCATTCAATGGGTATATCTTACTTAAAACTTATGTATACGTAATTATATTATAGGAACAATATATGTGTTAAGTGGAGGAGCTTAAACGCATTACGTAGACGCACAACTATTGAACGCATTTTTGAGAAACATTTTTATCTTTCAACAAATAACATTTAAATGTAATATATTTTACAGTGACTACGATTTCGTTGAATATTAAAACAAACCGCACCATTTCATACTCAACGGAGTAACCCTTAACATTCACCGCCAGAAGTCGCTTATTACGAACGACCTTCCTGAAAAGTCTACAGCTACAGAATATTATAATACAGTAGAATTGCATGTCCTCGAGAGCTATCGAGACGGCCACAACGTTCACTTTATTGTAATATGTTCAGGTTGCTACGAGGAATTATTTTAGTTTGCCTCAATAACAAAGTACCGTGACATTGGCATGTTCTGTACATTTAAACAGAATAACAGTTAACTTTTTAATTGTGTCTATAAATAGCAAGAGAGAATACGCGTTAAACAACGCTGCAATGACATAAAGTGTGTACATATTGTGGTATGAAGTTCTTAGCAGCACCGAATTAATGTATCAAATAAAGACAAGTGTCGCCTAATGACGTGAGACCGAATTAAACGTAAACAAAATACTAATTCATATTCGAGTCGCTCCAAGGCTAACGTCTAAATAATAGTTAAGTGAGTTTAAGAACGATTGTTGTCCGTTTTGGCTTTTAATTCTATTTTACGTTAAATACTTTATATAGAATATAAATGTACAGTTGAATTATAAATATATGATTGAAACCTAATATATCTCATTAATGTCTTTTTCCTTTATCTCCTAATATTAGTGTGAACTGAATAAAAACACATTCAGCAATTTATTATCCGCCCGGAGCTACATCACACAGGCATAGAATAATAACAAACCATTCAAGTTCAAGGTTTCAAACTAATCGTGGAACTTTTTCGCAATTAAAAGCTCCCCTCCGGTTTAGGCGATGTGAACGGTAGTACCACTGCAAAGAGTTCAAAACTCACTGTTTGCACATCGTCTTATTAATAATCTCACCGGAGTCCGTGACATAATGGCGCAAAAAACTTGACAAGTCAAGGTTTACATCGATACGTTGTGTAAAAAGCGCATGGCAACACTGTCCGACATACAAAAAAGTCGTTGGTGTGTGTTATGTATGTATATGTGTTCACAGCTGCATATAGATACAATTAGTATTTTTTATGTAATTTATTTAGTATCAAGTACTTTTTCTGTATAATACGGGCACGATATATATATAATTTTTGAACTAAAACAAAGCATTAAATGTGTAATTTTCTTCAGTAGTAAATAATTATTGAATACATTTAAATTTCGCCAAGTGGCCGAGGCTGGCACGCGGCAGCGGCACGAGCCACGCCGCGTGACTGCTGACTGCCGATGCTTAATGCTTGCAGGCCGACAGAGCTCGCACGAACCGTAGGTTGGTCGATTTGTACGCGGACTACGGCCACATCCGGGTGGGGTCAGTCGGGGTCAGCATACACCAACAACTATTGTTGCTAAGTACGTCTAACCTCAAGAGAAACGAAGCGGCGCAGCGGAGTTAATCACTGCTAGTGAAGGCTTCGCAATAAGTTATTATATAAGATGCTATTTTTGGAAGTCGGTTTAAAACTAACAATACTTTTTGCGATAAAAACATACAAAGCCAACAGCAGGGATACGAAAACCATTTACTTTTTACCATTTAAAGTTGTATTTGAGGACTTAATTAAACAATTGATTCAAATCGTGCAATCGTAAAAGTTGAAATCGTTTTAGATTTTTAAATGAGCGACGAGTGACGCACCAACCTATCAGTAATTCATTAGGAATTACTTACATTACTACTTTAATCACTAGAAAAAATAACGAAATGTCCATGGGCGGTGTCACTGAACATCCGGTGAGCGTCCCGCCCGTTTTACAAAACAGAATTAAAAATATAAGAATATGTTTTAAGAGGAACTGATTGTAATTAGAGAAATAGTAAACGTCTTTCTATTAAAGTCATTGCTTCTTATTTGTAGCTTTGCACTTCTAGCATTTTACCATCAAATACTCTATCATTTGGACTTACAGTGGTCGCCTGAAAGACTACTCGCAAGCGATAAGTGTTAAATAAATAAATAAACAAACGATGGAACATCAATAAGAAACCGGCCGCAGCTAATGTTAATCTGTAAGTAGTTAGTGCTTAAATGTCTTGTTAAAACATTTTATATCTCTCTCTAATTACGACGTATGAAAGGGACACTATATTAAAACAGACTCGTTATACAGTAGCTCAATAATTGTTATTAACGTCTCGTTGGGAGAAAATGTTCTCTAAGGACGGGCAACAGATTTTAAATTCCATCACAACACTCATGAACAGTGCCGAGCAATAAAACATAACTGCCGCACTGCACGTTACATCGCTGTGCCCAAAAGTAAACGAGCACACTATAGATAACGACACTGTTTAAAACGGCTCAAGTGACTGCAAAGTACGAGCCATTTAAGATCTTTCAGAGAACATGAGAGATGTGAAATCGGCTTGTGTGGGGTCAGGAAGTTGCGCACAGAAAGGGTCTTGGCCAGGCAACGAGATGTTAGATTAGAGCGTAAACAAGTTTGGTATCTACACGTGTACAGACCGAGTCGAGTCCACACAAAAGGTACAGAAAGGTTTTCTTCGTTTCGACTCGTGATTTAATAAACAAAACCGACGATGCCTATAAGCAAACCTTTACCCGAAGATAAGAAGGATGTGTTTAATGACATAAACGCTTCACAAAATTATCTTAATTGGAGTAAATTCAATTACTTCTCACTCGCGGTTCGCGCGCTGACATCATACTTAATTACATTTATCAAAATACACTGATTAATTATTATAGTTCTGTATTAACTGGTAACTCCATATTAATTATCTTATCAAAATATTTAATTGCCGAAAAGTTATAAGCTGAAATTTATTTTTGTAAAAGTTAAAAACCTAAGTATTTGAAAAAGTTAAGTTTTATATTTTAATTCCCTCGGTAACTAATTTATGGTTTTAGTATTTAGATATTGTTTTAATAATTTTGTTACAGAGATGCGACCTTGTTAGATACTCGATTAGGAGTTTTTCAATGCTTATTATCAGAAAGAGATAATTCAGAAAAGATCTGAATTAATGTTTCACAAAGTTGAGCATCGGTCGAGATGGGGGTGTTGGTGAGGAGGTCACGCGCCGCTAATAGTTTCAGCAAATGCTTCCACTTTGTTGGCTGTTTGTTCCGAATCCAGTCTATTTCTGAAGACAATCATGAGTTGCCCGCGAATTGAATTGCTTGTTTTGCAATTAACCTGTGTGCTATAACTTTGTTAGCACATTGCATCTATGTATTGCGGATTTAGCTTTCCACGTGTCATGACAAATTTAAAACTTATTTACTTACGCTGGTTAACAATTAGCGTCGATTACTTTACATTGACGAAAACGTACATGTTGTAAAAATAAAAGATGTAAGTTTTCTATTATGTAATTCCTTAATTAAAACATATTATGTTTTTAAAAAGATTAGGGCAATGCAGTTTCATACAATGGTGTGAATTCTTTACATATTATTACGATTAGGTTATATTGTGCATGACACGCTGAGTCATTTACTTGAATAAAAACAATTCATTTCAAGGTCAATCTGCATTAATTTCAGTTGAGATAAGGCAAATTGGACCGTATTACCGAGCGATAAAGATCGTACAAGCGAAACTGTACAGCCTAGGTTTAAATCGAACACAGCTGCAGTTGATATTAGCTCGTGGAACTATTGTAATACCGTAACTAGGTATATGTAACTAAGCGCATACAACCGACAAACGTGACTCGGTAACTAACGAGCGTACGGGCAATTTCAGTACGCACGGCGTGGCAATAATGCTCATTTATGCATAAGCAAAGTAACTCGGTTGACACTACTTAGTGTACCTCGGTTTTGGAATATATAAATGATCCATGCGACTTTAGCGCTTGTTGCAAGGAGGTTCCGACTATATTTATGTGAAAGAATTAATATTTACATACTATGATACGAGGTTAGCGTGAGTCAGAGTGAGCAAACAGACCGAGCGACGCCGGTGTTGCTATGTTGTGCTAAGTGAGGCTTAAGTGTTCATTAAACACTTACTTTGTAACGACGATTATTCTTCAGGTGTGCTTTTATGACAGTACGTGGCCATTTAATATTCTTACGACGAATGAGCTGTAGAGGTCAAATCGGTTTCGACGCGTTTCATACGGCGCTCATTGTTGTTGACAACGCCTTGGCCGATACTCCTGAAAAATCGAACAAATCACGATTCATTTACGGATACAGTTAATTGTTAGAATGCGGTGATGTTCAATACACACCAACTAAGATTATTATTATTATAGAGATTCTTTCATAACTTCCGGAAAAGGGCAGAACTACACAAACATACTGTTTCGATTTAACCTTTGAGCCATCTTCACCTGATGATTAAACTTTTTAATATTCGTTATTGCTTATAATCCAATAATGGTTTTAAAAGCCTTAGTTGTTTACTCCTTAAATGTGACTGGTGATGCTACCGTGCCCCCTTAATCTTTAAATAGTTAACCTTTACAAAATAACTTTAGATACCGCCATTACTCTGGGGCATATTCGTTTGAAAAATTTACTAATAAATTCCGCCGTTGTGGCATAGACGTATCTATGTAATCCAACGTAAATATATGTTACGAGATAAACCAGAAATAGCATATATATAACTAAATAAAGTTTAATCAAATTGAAATATGATCCACCCGAGTCAGTGTTATCAAGTAGATTCGTGCGCATGTAGGAGGAATAACGATATTATTATAATGGCCTCCGTAATTAAGAGGCCTCCTTTAATGAGGGATCAAAAGAAAAATAAGCATTTAGGAGAAAATATCCGGAAAGAAACAAAACCTTCAAAGAAAGGTCTAATAATTATCATCCGGAGGGAGGCGGCTAATGACAGCCACCACTCCGGGCAGCTTAGTGGTGGATGTATGTCTACACCGTCAACCGACGGCGTTAGTTTTTTGCAGTGTTCCTATTATGGTTTCCTTTGCTAATAAAACTATTGAAGTAAGTCGTAAGTCACTACTAAATATTAATAGACAAAATATCTAAAGCCTTCTACTAATTTCCCTGAAGGAAAGCAGTGGAGTATTTTAACTGATGTCCACAAAAAGGCTTTGAAGCTATCATTTCAAGTTTGGCTTATCGAAGCTGTCATATTAAGCTTCGCCGAGCGCGACGGATATATTGAAAATGTGTGCATTAAAACGGAACACATACACATATTGAAACATTTGAAAAGTATTAAGTTAAATAAAATGCAAAGGAGAGTCTTCCGTATCTGGATGCTGTAGGGTTCAACTTTGACTAATGCAATGCTAATTGTAAGGAAACTCGTGTAACTGGTTGTGTCGGAGGCTCGTCCGCTCAGAACCCGCCGCCTACAGCTAGCGAAGACACAAAGGAACAAGACTTGGAGCGTCGTTCATCTGTATACGGGATGCAAAGTTATGCTAATTCTAATACTTAAAAAACTGAATAATTATTTTAACTATAGTACGTAACCCAGGCGTATCCTAAGCGTAAATCCAATATTACAAAACTATTAAAGAATTTCTTTAAAACTAAGTTATATTAATGAGGAGATAATACTCGGTGAAGCGTTCAATACACTATTACAAATAAATTGCCAAAGTTTCAACAATGTATCTATTTATTATATCTGCTATAACAAGTAAATGTGATTACTACCTGTACTATCTATCTAGCGGTGAGTGATTCCTAATTGTGATAGCATTTATATTATTTTTGGAATTACACCTTCGAACAATATACATTTTCAACAAGATAGACTGTATTTTAATACAAGGTATTGGTAATTAGTTCCATATAGAGCAAGCGGCGGGTATTGTGGAGGCGTTACAATATGGTATTTATCATTAGTCTTGTGTATATTAAATACCGATTTAAATTAAAAAGACTATCTATCTATCTCGGCGCATTGCTAAGCTCAGTTCAAGTTTTTTTTCAATCCTAATAAGTTCTGATTCTGCGACTTCATTCTCTTTAATTTAAAACGTCTCGGAAACATTTGTGACAACCCTATATAGCTGCTACTGACTTACGCGTTATACATCCCACATCACAAATTAATAATGGTCACGCAATTGTGTATCTTCTGTACATCAAATACGGATCAAAATTAATTAACAGCCCAATGCGTGGGCCGTTTTTTTACGATCTGCCCTAGGGCTATTGAGTTTTTAAGCCTACAATAGTTCAGTGACCTTCAAATTGTACGACGGCTCTTGATACGAATACGTACCTAATGTCGAGCGAGAGAGAAATTAACCCTTGTTTCGGTTTAAAATGGAAGGCAATTAGTACCCTTATAGAGGCTTAATATGTCTTTAGGTTTCATGAGGCAAACGATTGACACATTACGTTATGTATTTCAAATCAACTTAGACATACTGGGGTCTGTGAAAACGGCGTAGAGTGAGGCCCTGAGTGGTCTCCAGAGGTCGTATAACTGTAAAGTTCTCATCTAAGTTCCCGCAACTTAAACTAGTTAAGTTACGAGTGTGCCCTGGGGTTGAGCCGACTACAGGTTTTTGCTGTGAGAGGTTTTCCTATATTGAAGTTTTCGAAACCTATCGAATGCGATCGTACTTTTCTGACAATGCATATCAATCCAATGCTAGGTTACATAATATATTATGATGATTCCTTGGATCTTTGAAAACCTGTCTGTCGTCCTGCAAGCATTAGTGCGAGTGAGACAACTGTCGAACCGGTCCACCCACTCAGTTAAATATTTTTTAGTTTGAAATTTAGTATTAAGGCTGTCTTCGTGCGTTCTTTTATTGCGTCTGTACGAACTCTCAAACTATCTTAACCCTGAAAGTTTATGTAAAGTTATAACCAACTCTCGAGGAACAAACGGAGATGTTTACTTAAATTTTTAACTAAAGAGATAACGGCGCGCCATACATAAGTGCGCTTCACAGATAACGAGCATTATTTCTGTTTCACCTTAAAACATTTCGGCCTAAGGTGGAAGTTAGCTATCGCACGAGAGGACAATATAAGACAACGGAATGCTTGCTATATGTTGTATATCTAATATCGGAGGGTTGATAATAATGGCAGTTGTCGAGTGAGCACTAAACAAAAGTAGAGGCTGAAGTGTCGCCCGCATCACTCGCGCAGTGCACGGCTCTCGCAGAGCTCTTGAAGCGCAGGCTGTTCCCTCCGGCGTCATTAGCGGAAGAGTATGACTTACAATTCTTATGATATATCTTTTACACCACACAAATATGGTGTGATATTTGAGTGATGTTTTTCAATATTTTAGATCGTACAGGCCAGGCGTCACCGACAAGCTTGTTTATCTAACTCCCTTTAATATAACAGGTAATTCCTTTTCGTTCACAGAATTGTTGAAATTAATTTGTTGAAATAAAGTCGCGGGAGTTTAGGGTCCTCACAACAGATATCAGCAAATATAATTGCAAGAATTATTGACATTCTAGATACAATATACACAATTTTTATTACATTTTAAAGTAGCACGCGAAGTGCATTGTATTTCGAATAACGGGTTTTGCATGCATAATCGTGGTTCTTACTGAAAATCGGTGAAGTGGTAATTCTTACCAACACAAGGGCCAATGTGTAAGTAGGTACATCCTTAACAATATGTTCATTATGTGCTTGATTTCAAATTGCATTTTAAACAAGTTATGTTTTTCTACAAACGTAAATTTTCTAATTTCTATTTCGATTTGATTATTATTTCTGAGTACCAGTTAAAGGGTGAAGGCACGTACGGGACGGCTGCGGTCGATTACGACCCGCGATAACAGGCTACGGAACGATCACGTCTCGCTCGCGTTGCGCACACGGCGAAGGCTTCGAGGGACTTTGTCGTGACTCGAGTTACCGTCGCCTTACGACACATATCGTCCCCATTAAATAGCCTTTTAATGATTAATGCGGGCTTACTCCCGATTACACAACGTTAAGCTCTTCGTGCGAATTGAATTCGAGTAAAAAGGTTTTTGTTATTAAAATTTTAGTGTTGTCACCCTACAGCGTTGAAGAGATATTCTTTGTTCAAAGTAATTTATATTAGAGAATGTAGACGGTCAAAAATTAAGGTCAAATATAATCACGATACAGCTGTAGTGCTGAGTCAGCGACTACCGTAATACGCCTCGCTAACTCGTTACTGTGAGATTTCGGACCACCCAAGGAAGGATTCGATTCTATTCAATACTAGAAATATCAAACTTATCTTCATTTTCACATGGCCAGGTCGGTCGGTGGGTTGCACTAACATATAGGCCGGCAAACTAATTTTGCTATTTCATGAGCGAAAAATACAGCGTTCGACGGAGAATCTTCCCCAGTGAAGTTAAATTACACGCAGCATTTAGATGTTGAATATAGCCTTTAACAATATGAAGGGAATCTGAGCTTCCACTCGTTTAAAGGTGAGTGCCATTAATTTCCTTGAATGTGATTGTTGCCCCTCTTAATAAAAGCGTGATTGTGTCATTAGCGGCACAAGATAACACTCAGCTGAGATCCAAAATGGATAACCTTTCAAAGATTGTTGTCTGAGGATTTGTCTTTCAATAAATACGTGTATTATTTTAAGACATACTCTCGTTGTATTGTCTTTGATTTACATAACCTTTACACATTTAAAGAAAAAACCTGTTTAACCGGATTGAAGTTATGTATTATTATAAATTTACAACTATTTAACATAATTTTAAATAGTTGTAAATTTATAATAATACATAACTTCAATCCGGTTAAACAGTTTTTTCTTTACATACTCTCGTTCCTTTTGTATCTGGTACACGTTAGCCGCATCCACGCCGGTCGATCCATCGTGATGTCATGGTGTGAGGCGCGCACTCCCCGCCGCGTGCGATCCATTTGTTCACGCTCAAAGGGGCCTCAGTCACTTGCCGCGCGCGGTGTGGACGGTTGTGATTTGAATCGCGTGATCCAACGGAATGGATAATTCACTATGTATTCTTTTAATCTCCCTTTATAGGGACAATAAATGTTTATGGGATCCTAATGATTCCAATTACACAAAAAGAAGTGTAAGAGAAGATGCTTGGCGGCAAATCAGTCGGGAAATGAATATGCCAACAGAAGATTTAAAAAAAAAAATGAGGTCTTTGTCGGGTGGCTACAGAAGAGAACGGTTTAGAGAAAAACAGAGTCGTATAACCGGATCCGGTAAGAAGTTATTTAATAATATACAATTTTATTCCGTAAAACTCCACATCGCAACGTGACTTACTTTGTGATAAAAAGACATACTTAAATGTTTAAAAGTGTTGGGTAGGGGAGAGACTTGTCGGACACTGATATATTAATTTGTTGTTTATTTCAGGTGCTTATAAATCGAAATGGTTTGCTTACGATTATTTTGCGTTCATTGCGGATAAGAATGACCCCGGGACAACAAGGGATATACGTCAACAGGTGACTTATTTTTTACTTTATAATTTTATTTTGATCAAAAAACTTTTAGGTAACCATTTAAGTATAATGTACTGAACTATATTATATTTTTTCTTCTTAATGAAGTTAACAGTAGAATTTATAAATATTATTGGAACTCATTTTGTCAAACAATGGCACCGTTTGTTATAAAGTGTCTTGCTAAGTGGGACCGAATATCTTTGGCATTTTGTGATGCTCTTCGTGGTATGGCATCTATCGGTAGTAGCGATGTTGGTGCCTGTTCCGATCGCCAGCTTCCAGGAACTATTTCTCCATTCCCCTGTATTGTATAAAAAGATACCGATGATCTTAAATTAGGATTACTTCGTAAATAGTTATATAAGTAAACTGTCACTAGCATGACTTTAGTTGCTTTTTCTGGCTCCAACAGGATTGGTTTATGTAAAACTCTGCAAACTGAGTTTAGTACTCCAAACGCATTTTCTACTACTCTACTTTTCTTGGATCGCGGATCGCGGGATCGCCGATCCATTTTGGATCGTTCTGTTTGGATGCGTCTGTTGAGCAACGAAGTTGAATTTCTAAACGGCTGCCAATTTTTGCCTTTTCACTCTGAACTTAGAGTTCATTTCGGCTTAAACGCATTTGCCACGAGAAATGATGGTAGTTATCTTTCATTGTCGGATGTGATTAGGGTTACCAAAAGTACTATTGCTTTTGTACTAATTAAATAAATGATCATAAGAAATCTCAACAACTTAACTATCGCCCCTGAGACCGACCCGAGACCGAGACGGTATGAATGTCAACCCTGAAAGCCGCTGTATTTCATCAATTCATTGTTCGCACGTGGAAGTACTAAAGCATATTTTTATTCCTTTTAATGAAATGCCAAATTTATATAATATCATTTAATCGCTTTACGATTTGTGAGACATAATATAGTGTTATCAGCCATTTCAATGTCTCGTGAAAAAAATATTTTACTCAAATTGGAATGTGATAGAAGTATTCTACACTATTTATAGACTATTGAGCAGGCGGCGATAAAGTTGTAACAACTCGTCTCCTCTCTGACTGCCGCTGCCACTGTATAATACACATAATAATATGTGTGTTGGTCAAATTTCCAGATCATATCTACCGAGACTAAATAGCTAATTAACAAGAAAAAGTTGTAGATCAGTTAAAGTTTCGTAATTAAAAATAACATCAACTTCAGACCAGATTCGTGACAGAAACTTATAACGACTAAGAAGGTATATCCAGAGCTCTGTAAGATAATAAAAGTATATGTCGTACCGAGAAAATGTAAACAGCCCATTTGAATACTTAAATAACCTCGCGGAGCAAAAAAGAACATAATATTTCAATTGGTGTTGAAGGACGAATGATAACCGAGGTAAACATGTTTGCTAACTGGGTTATCTGCGCGCGCGCATTACATAAGCGCCTATTTAATTGCGGAAATGTGTGAATTTTGATTATGTTATGCTCAAATAATTAAATGTATAAAGATAAAGATAATTCGTTACACGTGGTGTAGAAAAATAATGAATTTAAACTCGTTCTGGTGGAGTTTCAGAAACCATTCAATAAAGCATCTATTAAACGCGCGTAGAAATCTCACGAAGAGTACTTCACAAAAGCTTATGCAAATATATTTAAATATATATACATCGCAGCGTGTACTTTCAGCGAGATGTTGCAATGATAAACACAGTCATGGAAAACTTGAGATATCGACAGACACCTATTTACCTCCGATAAGATAACAACAATCTTTGTTCCATTAGCAAATATCGTAAAATAATATTATTAGCGAACACTTGGGCGTTCTTTTCCGTATGTTTTGATAGCGTTTCAAGGACACGGCCGACGTTTTCCTAAACTCTAAATGAATTCATATAATTTCTATTTCATATTCAAACTCACTAATCCAAGTCAAGGAAAAACTGAATTCTAATTGGATGTTACTTTCATCGGTGATATGTCGCTAATGTTACAAAACGAAAACACATGGCGCACAGTAACCGGTGTTCGACGGATCGCATTAACTGAGCAAACATTTCTCCGTCAATGTGATCCCGACTCCAAACACAAACATCGACGAACGTTGGAGCTAAGGTGCTAGAAATAAGTCAGTTTGCCAAAACATCACCACTCGTATACACATCGGTGTTTCAAGTCAGGAGCGGATTTTTACATCGCACATCATTATAGTTGTAGAATTAATTACACATCCGTAAGCCTCTCGGGATTGCAGGTGCTCATGGGCATAGTGCCCAATGAGTAACGTGACCAGACGTCCCGTTTTGAACGGGACTGTCCCTTTTTCCAATTACGAGTACCGGTGTCCCCGAAATGAACTGAGGGACGCAAAATTGTCCCGTTTATTCAGAGAGTTTCATTCTTATTTGAAATCGTCACCAGCTGTTTTAAAATAAATTTGTTCTTCTGATAAATATAAATAATACTAAACATTTTGGGTACCTATATTTTGTAATTCGTTACTTTTAAGCCAACAACTTTTCTAAATTTACAACTTCAAAGTGTTTTTTTAATTGACTACTTATTATTTGACCTAAATTTAATGAATGTCCCGTTTTGAGTCAAAAAATAACTGACGAGACTCCCGTATATCAAAATCCAATAAGTCTGGACTCTGAAGAGCTGTGCCTTTTCCCTTGCTCATTTCCCGACCTTCTAATCCCCTCCTCGCACGTGATAAACTTAACACGTAATGTTTTCAGGAATCATTTTCATTTTTATCGTTGGGACTATGTCTTTATTTTTACGCCAGACCCGACCACGCAAACCGCGCGTGTCGCCTCCACGCGCTTTTCGATGCCGTCATTTACACCGTAAAAATAAAATTGAATCGTTTGGTATTCGACGTAATTTTAGAGTTATTATCTAGGTTTATACCGAAATGATTTTGACTGACTCAAATAGAAGCTCAAGCGACCGGGGATATGTTTACAGTACCTATAGCAATACAGACTTTTCGTTTTAAAGGAATAAAAAGTGGCTTCAGTGAGGTGACAGTTGGCTTTGTCACTCATGTTTACATTTTTTGTCATTTAGTGGGATCAAAACACGGGTCAACGACCAAGCTAATCTGAATGGTTCGCTTAGTTGAGCATGTGATTTTATGAAAACAACTCTTGTTTATCTTATTGTGTACACTGTAAACAATCTGTGATATATTGTACATCACAGATACAAGGCACGAAAATATTAAAATTGCAATAACATGTGGTACACTTATAGACTAAATTGATATTTTTTTAATGGTACTTTAACAAAACTAAGTTAAATTATAATTAGGAAGGAGTCGAAAGTGCAGTGGCAAGAATGTGAGATTAGGACTATTTGATTTTCAAAATACTTTTGCAAATTTTCTCGATGTAGCAGTTTATTACAAAATGACGAAAGAAAGAATTTCATTAAACATTGATAAAATCGAAAAAACGAAGGTTGCATGTTAAACAGAGGGTAAAATAACAATTCCAAGTTTGTCTCGAGGCCTCGGCTCTTTGCGAGGGACGGCCCTCCCTGCTCACTTGAGTTTATTTTATAAATAATGTAAAAACTTGCCGAATTCAATTTAAAAGATTGTTTGGATCAAAGTAATGATGAGTTGGAAAGTATTTGTCTTATGTTTTTTGTCACCCTTTCGGCTTAATCACATCGAACGGGACGTCGGACCCGTTCCTACTTGTACAAGTATGTGTTGTCTTTTTCTCATCATGTCGTCGTTTTCGATCTTGCCGCAACAAAACGAAGTTCATCGTTTATTAATTTAAAATCAAATACACGGTATCTCAATAGCTTTAGTGATCTAAGCCGAAAGCCTAAAGAACGCACAATTAAACATTTTAATTTTAAAGCGAACCTATAATTGGTAACTTAATTAGGTTTATTATTTTAGAATTATGCATTATGTTAATTTAAATTTTATAACACAACAAACGAAAGACAAATGTCTGAAGATTGGGAATTCTGACTACACGACAGCGTTTGTTGCTTTTGAACCTACGTTGTAACCTATGAGCGAATAATGTTTTTGTTTATTTTGGTGTTTATCTATTACAAAGAAAAATACATAATTTTCTTTTCTACTTTAGTGTAAGTATGTACACGTTCGAAGTCATGTTACCTACGGATGGTTTTCTCACAGAAAAAGGTCGTGAAGTGATGCAATAGGTTTATACTATTGTACTCGCGTTTCGAGTGGTTAGTGAAACTCCCGAAGCCCATACTTTCCCCTCCCCCCTTAATTTTTCCTATCCTATCCTTTCCCCTTTTTATCCCGTCTCGTTCTATCCTTTCCCTTTTTTATCCTCCCCTCTCTCTCCATAGAATATAAATCACAACAGCAAACGAAGCAGGCGTCATATGTACAGTTCCTCTGGAAGCACATGATCAAACGACTGCAGAGACAACATCGATGATGATGATGATCATTGAGTAACGTTGTAGGTACACACGTATGACGTAACTATGAAAATAATTAATCTTTTGTTGTATAGTTATTAACACTTAAAAATTATTATCATAACAACACATTGAAGTACATTGGGTCGAGCGACAATATTGAATAAAATGCAATTTCGTCAAAATGAAACGCACAATACCCTATTACAATAAGAAAAGTAAGGAGTTATTCTGAGGAGCAGTCGGTCGGAAATTATTCCTGTGTCGACGAGATAGCGCCATACTCTTAAGTGTAGACTCAGAGTCACCAAATAAAGCATTTATTTGCCATATATATTTAATTATCTTTATCTTTCGGTTTAAACACCTCGATAAACTATTATCTAACAATTTCTCTTTACCCAAAGTGTCGAAGAAGTATTATATTTCTTAGCCCCTAGTGATAACTCATACACATTCTGTCGAGACCAATATTAGTGCAATTGTGTGCCAGTGCCAGGTGGAAACTGTTCAGGCTACGATAAACAGATCCCTTTAAAATTGTGACTTCGGAACAGTTTTATCTCTTGTGCTACAACGCCAGGCTGTGGGTCGGGGTAAAATACGGATATTTGCATTTTTACGTCTTAATTAAGCCAAGGGTGCTGAACACCGAAGTGTCGGAGGATACCCTCGAGGCATTTTTCAAACCAATTTAAACAGTCCGTAGGCACAAAGAACTCCGAACCTACAACTCACTCTTCTCAAAGTCAGCTAATAACATACGTTAAAATGATTTAGATTATTTTAACACACATTTTATGAGTTATAAGCGCTATAGCTCCTTGCTCTCATAAATAACAACTAAAACTATTAAATGCCACTACACATTATGTTTAAGATGCCATAAAGCTCGTTTACGTGGAAGAATCTGACACAAGCGTATATGGATGAAGAGATCGATTTTGGTCCCGTACACATTTTAACTTATTTCTCATGATCTTTATAAACTTAAAACTCGGATTCTCCGCGGGTTACCGAACATTGGACAAGTCATCACAGACCACAGGCCGTACGAGCACAATGGTAACCGATACACGCACAAATGCTGTG